GATGAATTAATCATCATGCTTTCATTACTCAAATAATAATATTTAAAGAATCAGATATCAATCCATATAAGACTTTGTATTTTACTAATATATAAACATTGTAACTAGACGACGTCCGTACATGGAAGATATTTAAGGAAAATGATATTCGAAGTCTTATTAAGAGCAATAGAAGTCAAAACAATAATTTTGTCCATCTGTAATTTTGTTCCAATAATACATAAAAATGACAACATCAAATAGAATGTAGTTTTTAAATTGTATTCTTGTTTTATCTTGATATAAATAAAAGTGGTTCCAAAATCCATACACGCGACGTTGTGGATAAAAGCTAGTTTGTGTGGATTATTGAAGGAAGTCACACCCTCACTTGTGACTCATAAATCTGTTGATGGTGAACTTTCGTCGATCACAACGCGTGGTTCCGATGGTTGAGTTCAAAAACCCATTATGTAGAACATTATGAAGAGCCATTGTCTCGGCTGAATGGCCCGGCACAATATCTTACGAAATTTTCCTAAAAAACCACCAACGTATTATAAATTTGTATTACGTCCATTATCTGATTCCGGCTCCGGTTAGGATCCATTGTCTTTTTTTCCATTCTAAACTTCGTTAAAACATTTATAGGCACCGCCTATATTTTTGTGTATATTGTTTTTATTATCAATGAATGCATTGAATCGTCGTGTATTTTACTTTTGCATTCTAATTTGTTTCTGTTACTTACATTTCATTAATTTTTTACGTTTCGTTTCTCTTCACCCTATCTTGTTTATAAATAGCTCCGTTGCTTTAAACTATGTAATAAGCAAGAAGTCAATATTACTCAAAGCTATTTAGAAACACTTCAATTATTATACTGACATATTAACTATAGCAAACATGATTTTTTTCACGGCTGTAATCTCTGATGGGGTAGTCAGAAACATTTGCCGTGTATACCGTTGGAGAAGTTATTACTCCATATGCCTACATTTCACCGATAGTATACAAAATGTTTTAGATTACACCATCCAGAATAAAAGTCGTGAGTATATTTTTATTAGTTTATTTTATCTAAACCACTAACGTTAAAATATAATTGATGAATTCGTTGTTGATTATTTGTTTCACTGGCAACTTCGAATTATGTAGTTAAATAGGTGATCTTGACTGAGAACATCAATTTCCCATCTCTAATCGTGAATTAGTCATTAGTTTCATATATACAATACACTCGTGTTAGGAAGCCTTAAAAAGCAATGTATATATATATATATATATATATATATATATATATATATATATATATATATATATATATATATTCGACAACTGTAAATTAAGAAAAATTTACTTCCTTATTAAGCCTACCAGGGTGGGTTGAAAAGAACAACTTAGTATTCAATGACACCAAATGTTCACTCGTAACCTTCAGTAGGGTTTTTAAGGTCATGAAGCGTAATTTCTACTTAGGAAACAGTTATACCGAAGGCAGCACTGGTGAGAGATTTAGGTGTTTTAATATTTGAAGGGCTAAGTTTCAGAAACTATATTACTATATTATGCACTCAGGCATTCAGGTCCTTTGGATTTAAGCTACGTCAATTACAATATTTAGACAATATACAGACCATCAAAATGTTTTACAACACCTTAGATAGTTACCGTAGTAAGTTAGAAAGTAATGCAATTATCTGGAATACACAAAAGTCAAAATGTATACTCATTGTGTAGAAAATCCAAAGAAAAATGATAAACAATATGGATATTGTCTCACGTATCCTACTGTTTTCCTAGTAAGTTCTTATTGGGCAAGATGGAGGAATTTCGAAGATGAAAATTAGCTTTAATTGAGTATAATTTAAAAGTGTTTAAAAGGTATAAATATAATCACAGTATCCTGACATCGATATCTATTCGAGCGCCTTCTAATTATTCTCAAGCACGTCGAAGGGATTTTTTTCCTGTTTCGTTCAAAAAAATTAAGTTAGTAAAACAGATTTCTCTTCCACGGGCATTAACTCTGCTTAACGGTGTCATGAGCCGATATACTGATTTGTAAACTTGCCGTATGGTCCCGATATATAATAGAATGGACTACCCCTTTCTTTTCTTGGGAGTCGTAAGAGGCGACTAAGAGAACTTAATGATCAACGGCCAACAGCGTCCCTCTCAAGATATCACCAAAGCCTAACTGTGGCTGTATATATATACATATATTTATACAACTTAGAATAGCAAACAAGTGTAATTCCTATTGGAGCGAATTAGGAAACTGTCAAACTCCCTTAATTGGTAAATATAAAAAATAAATAATTGAAATTAACGTTCTTATTTGTACTTAAATTTCTTATAATTATTTTTAATTGGTTTTACGGTTTGAAGGGTGGAAATATAAAAAAAAAATTTAGTTATTTATTGTTCACTCCATCACAGGTTCTTCAAAACCTCACGCAAGCACCAGTCTCTCACAAAATTGATCTTACATATCTAATTGTATCTCAAGTTGTCACTTTATACTACCCTTTGTGAAAAGAAAATAAACCATTCATTCAATTATTCATGCATTTTTAAATAAAATATATAAGACAATAGGTACCATGAACATAATAATGTATTTTATAAAGTATGGACTTTATGTCTCATGGTTGTAGGCGACGGTTATCACGTTCCATCAAGTGGGCCGCCTACTTTTTCAAGTATCGAAAAAAAATACAAATATTAAATTACGCCTCATTAATTATCTATTAGCTAACACAGAGTCGATCTTTTACGTCGTTCGTGAATATCCACAAGCCATTTTTGCGTTAGTTGCCTCGATTAAAGCAGTTAATCAAATCGCTAAGTGCTCTCATTCCACACTATCTCAAATCTATAAATTAAAGGCAATAAAACGATTCTACAATCGTCCAACAATACTTTATTATATTTCGCACAATCTCTTAAAAATCGTGAGCCATTAAATGTGAAGAACAAGTGAACACTCATTAATAATACTCTCACTAAACCCTTACCTATTATTACAATCTATTCATGCACGACTTATGTAACACCAAATTATCAGAGTATGTTAACATCCATTGTGTTGTGGACGCTAATCTACATAAGTATAGGTATTAATTCGTCTTTCAAAACGTTTCTGTAAAAAGCTAAGGTGGTTTCGACAGAATGTACTGACAAATATACCGGCATCATTGGAACGGCGCACGAATAAATCGGTATTTTCAATACAATAAGATGTACATACACGATTTTGTACGAGTTTTTTTTTTTAATGTAAAGGCGAAGGCACAAGTGTCTCGGTGCCTTTTGTTTCGTATACCTCTATTGAATGAGCCAAAGCCTCTTTCTTATTCAGCGCCGCATTTTTATTTTCTACCGAATTCGAACATTTTATAAAAGCATCAGCTTAAAGCAATATGCGTAAATCAAAAATTAACATTACGTTAATAAATTACAAAACATTCACACCGTTGTATCTCGTAAACCAACAAAAGCATTTTAAAATGACCGTTACGAAGCCAAATGAGCAATTTATCCTTATACCTTTTTAAGCGACCACAACCGATTCATTCAAAACGCTTGAAAATCAACAAAAACCAGTAAATCCTTAAAAAAAGAGTTGAATCACAAAAACACTTTCGTGATGCAATGTACATCGTAGTCAACGATCACTCACAATAGACGCTCCGCAGTGACTTGGAGAAAACATTGATTAATTACCATAATAATTTATTTGATACTCCAAAACTTGATACGGGGAGGGGCCGATTGCTCAACCGGCGCGTTTAAGTCCATTTCGAACCAAAAAACGTAGTGGATACAGACGAAAACGTAAACGCGCGAGATTCGACCGGACTGACTACAACGGATATGATTTTAAATATTTTTCTGTATGATGAAAACAAAACATTGTTATTTCAATATGATGCATGGAGGTGATTTGGCTGTTTCAAACAAAAGAATAAGTTTGATGGAATAGGCATTGTTGAATGTATCGTTAGTGGGATTGTTGTATTTATTATGTATTACACATTCTTGCCTTTCCCTCGCTACAGGCCTAGATTTTACAAATTCTTTTTTGCCTCATTGCTTTGTATTATTAACTAACTTTTTAGTAGCTTCTTCGTACGCGTGGATTTTAAAAGTAAGAAAACCAATGAATTGGACCACTTGTAGATGATTTATTTAGATAAAACATACACCAGGTTTTAAGTTGGACCTTCAGCAACAGTGAAAACAGCATGTAATTCGGTTCAGTAATTTTTACATGATGCGGAACAAACATATAGACATAGACACTCCTACTAAAGCCCTTCACATCAATTTTTCTTAAATATCTTCTATCTACAGACATTGTCTAGTTATTTTTTTAATTGATGAAAATGGAATGATAACCTACGCTATCGGGATACGCTGGCGGGGCACCAGTGAAGGATGATAGGTGAAGATGAAGCAGGTCAGTTGGCCCATCGTGATGAATTTATCAAAAATTCATCACGATGGTTTCCAAGGGGAACCGCATGGAGGTCGACCTGTTAGGGTATATTGCTAGTAATAGGTCTGTTGGATCTCATTACTAACAATCGCTCCCCCCCCCCCCCCCACCCCCGATATTGTCTAGTTACAATTTTATTATATTAGTAAAATAAGTAATTTATATCGTATGTAGTAAAAATTTCGCCGTATGGTCCCGGTCTACCACCCATTCTTATCCAGTGGGTGTTATAAGAGGCGACTAAGGAGCTTATTGCCTAAGGGATAGATAGTAACGTCTCTCTTAAAAAAAAACCTAACTGCGATTCCCACCCTCTTGTCAAGAATGACGTCAGCAGTTACTGACAAAACCCGTCTTATGGAGGAGGCAGTGTTTAACAGTGGATAGATAACGACTGATATGTTGATGATGATAATGATGAAAGGGAAAATTGACAAGTAATAATTATGTCTTATACACCTACTTAACTATTCACATATATTTTACAATAGTCACTATAGTTTCCAACTTTTTACAGGTTTATTATCGGCGTTGAATCAACTGGACCAAGCTCGAAAGAATTCGCTTCAATCCACAGTTGACTACTCCAGATACGTCAAGAGGTTTGTTTACAATTACTATTTATTTTACTAACATTAGTAATGAGTATTTTATTTTATTATAAATAAAAATAACTTCCTGAATATGGTTGAAAAAAAAAAACTATACTAATACTCGTAGATAAAAAAAATCCTCAAAACAATTTATATGAAAGATCTATTAAAAATATGTAACATAAAACTAAATACAGATGAAAAATGTCCACATATTACAATCTTATGATTTATGAGGCCTATTAATTAATGCAAAATAATCTATCATATTTCGTGCACGGCGGGCTTCGAATTAGAAACCGGAATTGGTATTAACATTACCATGTACAGATGCCAGTTTGACTGCATGTTACTCGTATCTTTCATGTTCATTATAAAACTAGTGTTAAACTTGACGATTTCATTCTATTCTAATTTAGAGATATTTTATTAATACTCGTTTGTATTAATTTATAATGTTATTGTAAGAAGAATAGGTCTATTATTGTAATCGTATTTCTTATACATGGAAAAAAAAATGTTACTTCTTTTATGTATTTTGCTTTTTTTGTACACATATTCTTTTAGCTTTCTAGATATATCTATCTGTCTGTTGTTATTTGTGTGCTGTAAATAATGCAAATAAATTATATATCTATCAAATGGTTGATTAATTATGATTGTATGCTTATAAATAAAATATACAGAGAATATGATTAAAACGAATTAGACAAAAGTTGTAAATATGGACAAGCCTACACTGATCTATAATATAAATATTCTTCAAATGAAATTAGTAACAAATCGAAATATTCGATCAATAAATCGATTTTCGATTTATACTACTATTGAACATAAGCATACTGTCTTATGTTCATGTCAATTATTCGTTTGTTTACATTTCATAAAATTGTATTAAAATATTCTACATATCATGTCTGAAAGAATAGTCAAGACTCTGCAACTAATATTTACGTATACATGAATAATGATTGATTTTGACATTAGATACTATTTCCTTATTCTATACAAGCTTGAACATAAACCATATTTTTAAATTAATATCTCAGGTACAGTTCAACACTGGAATGTGGCTCGTCATATTGCAAAGATCTGGGCTACCGAGAGCATTTCCATTGCATGGACTGCACCGCCAGGTGTTCTGCAAGAAGGAAGAGATGATCAGACACTTCAAGGTAACCTTTAGAATATCCTAACTCCATATTACATATTATGAAATTTAACTAATCAGTTCCAATTTTCTATCTTTACTCGTACTTACTCAAATCATGGAATAGTTAAAATTACTTACCAGATTTATTTTGATTATATTTTTTCAGTGGCACAAGAAACGCGACGAGTCTCTAGCTCACGGCTTCATGAGATATTCTCCACTTGATGATTGTTCAGAGCGATTCAGCGATTGTCCGCATAACAGAAGCCAAACTCATTACCACTGCATACAAGAAGGCTGTGATAAGGTATTTTGTTTTTTCTGTTGGAGTAAGACATTTCATTAGACCTATTTCTCGACCCTAACAAATCAGTTATGTAAGTAAGTTGTAGAATATGAGAGAGTATAGCTGGACTAACTTTCATATGGTCTCCTCTCATATCGAAAAAGATCCTCTTACCCTTAACTACTATTACTACAGTCTCTCTACTTTCTTTGCTCTGTCCACCAAATTCTGGTGAGATTAGCTTTCTTCAGTTTCTTTTACCACTGCTCTATCTCTATTTATCTCCTGGTAACTAATTTTTTTTTACTTTATTATATTTTCATTTTATGTTCTTGGTACAAGATAAGCAGATAAAACTGACTGTCAGTTATCTCTAATTTTGTGTACATCTTTTGCTTAATTCATTATCGTCCAATTTCCTTTGAACTCAACTTCAGATAATAAACAGTATATCCAATCATTATAGAATATTCCAATCTCTCACCGATATATACTCCTATTCACTTCCGCTTTTTTAATCATACTCTAAAACGAATGTAATTATATTTTCTAGGTTTACATATCAACATCAGATGTACAAATGCACGCCAATTACCACCGAAAAGACTCTGCTATCCTCCAAGAAGGTTTCCAAAGGTTCAGAGCAACAGAAACCTGCGCTGCCCCTCACTGTGTCTTTGCTGGACAGAGGACGACTCACTTTCATTGTCGAAGACCTGGCTGTACCTACACTTTCAAAAACAAGGCTGATATGGGTTAGTATTCTTATAAATCAGTTTTAATTCTATTATTTCTATGAGAGCTCATGGTTGCTACTTCAAATAAATTAAGCTCTTTCAGCTTAGATTTTAAAACAGATTAGTTATTAAAACAAACTTTATTAAATAAATTATATATGACAATCTGCATGACTTTACATTGTTCCAGAAGTTCGCTGTCTAATTTCACATAACAATGAATAAATATCTTTTGAGCTAAAATAAATTATTAGATTATATTAAATGATTAGATTAGATGCAATAATATCTGAATAAAATTTTATCCTCAGAAAAACACAAAACCTACCACATAAAAGATGAAGCCCTCTCGAAAGACGGCTTCAAGAAATACATGAAGAATGAAGCTTGTCCATACAGAGACTGCCGATTCAGTAGAACATGCAATCACATCCACTGCATCCGGCCTCATTGCAACTATGTACTGCATTCTAGTAGCCAGATCTTCACTCATAAACGAAAGCACGAAAGGAAGGAGCAGGAAATGAGTTTTGGGTAAATATTTGAAAAACATTTTGATACCTCTCTTTTTATGCTGTCTATATTTTGATTACCTTGTCTATATTTTCACAGTTGTCAAGCAGTTGTACTCGGAAAGGATTTTGGTCATATTTACTGCCAATAATTCTTATACAGCTACATTTCTATTACAGTCCCTTTTTACACTTGCCCTTTTTATATTTTTTCGTTTACCAAAGAACTCTTCTACATTACGTTGTTTTTGTAAAATTCTATAATTTTAATATACATACCTTTTGATCTATATATTGATATTTATAAACATCATTGTAGACAAGTTATAAGTAAATAAAAGGGTAACAAAAATTATAGCCTCTTAATCTTGCTTCTTGTAATATTTTCTCTACTTATTTTATGTAATTGTATCTTTCTTTAAAGAGATTAATAAATAGTTTTTATTTATATCCTCCTCCTTAAGTCGTATTCCTAACTCGTTAAGGACAGTCGTAACCCCTTCGCAAAACTACTCTTTCTCTAACAATTTTTTTCCATCTAATTCATTTCAGACTTCCAACATCAGTGATTCAAAGTGCTCTGATGCAGCAAGGTGCAGACCTTAGCCTATACTCGCCTGGAGGTAGTTTACACGTGGAAGATGACATGTCTAATCCTATGATGGATTCAGATTATGCACATCCATTCGTAAGTATAACCTCTGCTTTCGTTAAGATGAATGAATATTTATTTATGTAATATTTGTTTAATGTATTCATGTATGTATATTTATATAATCATAACGTGCAGTAGTTCTCCATTGTATGTGTTGTAATTTTTTCACCGCATAATAAAATTTCTATTTTGCCAAAGGTTGACTGGGAGAGAATGCTATATAGTATTAAGTCCGCCTTTTGTACCAGACATTTTTTTTTGTAATGTGGTCATTAAAGAATAAATAAATAAATGAATGAAATGAACAAAATTAATAAAATGAAAACCTTGTAGAAATACCAAATATCGTAATAAAATATCAAATCAAATAGCATTAGTTCCAAAAATCTACACGCTAATTCAGTGGTGTAATTAAACTAAAAATATTTCTATAGAATGCAGCATTGGTTGAAGAAGTGTCACGAAAGTACATAGAAACATTTAATGGCGGCAAAGAAGCCGAGGATAAGTGCAGCAAATGTAGCGCTTTCAATAAGCACTACCATTGCTTAGCTGATGGATGCAAAATGGCTCACAGGTAAATTACTTATACATTTAAAAATATCTTCTTATTCTAATTGTCTAATATGATATAATTTATAATTGGCGGCGGGACCTAACATTAGATATGGTCATTTCTCCGATTTTATTAGGAAAATTTCCAATTTCTCTAATAAAACACTGTTAACATAATGCCAATGATTTAATTTTAAATTAAATAATTTCATTAAATTCAATACAACATTCAATAAATTATATAATTTCATTAATAAGTGTTTTAATGTTGAGCAAATATGGAATTATGGAATTTTTTTCATATATGAGTTTTTTTTTAATAGAAACAAATTAATATAAAAGCAAACTGAATTAAAATAATATTAATTTTTATAGCTGCCACACAACAATGGTTAAGCATGTAATGGAACACGAACAACAAAATCAAGTGACCGAAGCATACTTTGTGATGTACACGCGAAGCAATCCCTGCGGAAACTCAGCCTGTCAGCATATTAGGGATATAACGCACTATCATTGCACATGGGTACGTATAGAAGTGGTATAACTAACAAAAATCATAAAAATAACCAAAAATACATTAGGATCATTTATTCTTAAGATATTATAAGCATTATCTTTTTATATAGCTAGTTGCTTTCTATTCACTCAATACTTATAAGTAAAAATCGATTATAAATTCTTCATTATTTCCAAATAATAATTACAGAATATAAACAAAGCGACCAGCTTCCTTTAAATGGCTACTTCCTTCAAATATTATCTTTCTTACAGGAAAATTGCGGTGCTGTCATTCTCTCTTCAGAAGAGCATCCATTTAGACGTCTGGAACACCACCGTCAGCATGCAATACTCAGTCCTATGTCACCGAACTTAGCGGCGAGATTCGCACCGAACTTCACGCCACAACTTTCAGCTCAGTTACACCCCAACATGGCGGCTCAGCTCGGTCAAGTGCCCAATATACCAAATCTGCCGCCAAACTTGGCCCAGTTAGCCCAAATGGCGCCAAGTCTCACATCTCAGTTGAATCCGAATTTGCAAGCTCAATTAAATCTTGGCCCAAATCCTAATGTAATTCCACAACAAGTGAACCCGTCAAGTTCCTTAGATGAAATGTTTAGTAGAAAACGGGGAAGGCCACCAAAGAATAGAGTTGTTGAAGTCTGGACTGATAATGTAAGTACAAGCTGAACTTTTAAAATTAATGAAATATGATTTATACATAAAAATGTTAAATTTAAAGAAAAATAACTTTAAAGTTCAAAAGTATAACTCCTTACAAATATCAATAATAACTTATTTATTACTTATACTTCGTTACAAACTAGATACCCTATTACTTTTGTTGCTATGTTCTTTACATAAAAGGTAAACATATTTATATAGGCAAATAATAGTCACATATCTATATTGTATGTATATACTTGTATCTTCATGTGTATAAGTAGAATATGTATGTGAAATTAAAAAAAAAGTATTTTATTTTGTACATATTCCGACATTTATTTTTCCTTTATGTTGCTCAAAGTTGACACGAAAATATCCCTCGTAACGTTTAAATGTAGTGTATCTACAACTACTAATATTGTATTCTGTTTATAACAATAAAGTTTAAACAAACAAACGTAAATTACTTTAAATGTACTTACAATATTACATTTTATACTTCGAATAGAAATATAACTGTTATATCAAGGAAAAGTCGGACATAACTGTCCGAGAATTTTAAATTGTCTATAAATAAACTTACCAAAAATTCATTCTTGACTCCTTTGAATTTCGAATAGCAGTCGTTGTTTGTACTACTTTCTTTCTTGTAAAAAGATTCAAAAGTTTTCTAATTAATATTATTCGCATTGTAGGTCACCCCTCAGGCTATATTCACATCGTTCAAATTGCCAAAGAGCAATCAAATGCCGGCCGCAGTTCAATCGCCTGTTATAACTACGCTCGAGGAGTTTCCGGTAAGTTATTATTATATTATATTTTTATTAGCTGTTAATTGAGCAATGAGAGATTATCTAATTTCTAAAAAAATATAAACATTTTTTATCCTTGTAATTAAATGGCATAAATCAAAAACTTTAAATTTCAAGATACTTCATATCTCAGTAGAGTTCGGCTCTATTTTATTGTCACCAATTGTAATAAAATTAATATTGACTAGTAATTATATTATTTTAATTTTAAAATGAATTAAATGTATCAGTAAAGGGCATATTATTTAATGGACACATTAAATTTAAAATACAGAATCTTCAAAGTAGACTTTGCTTCGTAACAAGCATAATATTGTTTTGAAAAGGGTACACAGTTATAGTAATTTTGATCGACACAATTAAGTTCTTCATTAAAAATTACCTCGATAATTTCTAGTTAACTTTTATCTTTTCTATATTCCCCTTCTAATGCTTCTTCTATTTATTACAGCGAATAAAATTCCAACACTTCGAAGTTTTCACAAGCCCTGACTCTTGTACTCAGTCGTACCCCAACTGCCAGTTAAGGATGACCAGACTTCATTTACACTGCTTTAACTGCAGTTTCGTTGGCGAAAGTCATATTATAATGGAGACCCACATGAGGGACTGCCACTCTGTTGCACCTTTGCTAGAAGGCTTCGACTACTACTCGTCTTATGACCAGTGTGGCGGTAAAAGTTGCTTCAAAAACCAACTCAGATCTCACTTCCATTGTGCTCAAGGAAACAACTGTCCAGCAATTTTAACACAATACTCAGCATTAGCTACGCATAAGCATGGGCGAGGCACTCCAATTATTAAAAGTGAGGACCAAGAAAAGTCTTTTGAGGAAGCCAAAGATTATTCATTGAAAGAACGCGCCTCTGTTGATAGCGTCTGCTCTGTGAAGGAACCAACAGAATCATACACACCAACAAATTTTTCAATTAAAAGCGAATTTGATAGAGACCAAGATAATGTTTCGGGTAAGTACATTTCCGTAAGCTATTTTAAAATATCTAACATAATTCATCAATAATCATAAAATTGATTTATAATAGTTATTTTTATCTTAAGCTTCTAGATCAGGAGTTTAAACTTTTAAGGTGACAGAATACTTACCAAATACTTTTTATTTATTTAAACCTCATATCAAATGATTACAAATGCAGCATTCGTGTGTGCTGTGCTATATGCTGTTATATGTGCTGTTCATTATATACTTTGCACTATTTCAAATTAATGTTTGTGTGCTTAAGTGTAGTTTTGTTGTATATTTTTAACAGTCAAAAATAAATAATTTTGCGAAACTTTGGTGATTTTTCTACAGAAATATTCAAAAAATATTCTGTAAAATCTACTTTAGGAATCGCTATTCTAGATTATACCTGCAATCAATTGTTGGCTTACTTCTCACTCTCATTCAGCATATTTTTTAATTTAACATTAATCTTCAATCACTTCTCTTCAAAATAAATTGAAAGAGATATTTATATTTGTACTAAGGGCTCTTAACAAAATATCAAGTATTAATATTGATTTCAGTAGTAAAAGCTACGGGAACCTTCTACCCATCTTCTCACCTCCGGAGCAACACCTCATCACCATCACCTAGGAGTATCTATGACGCATCACCTTCAAAGGAAATGAAATTACGAATGGACTACGACAAAAAACCTTACGAACAAAAACCATCAGGGCCAACTATCCCACCTTCGTGCCATGACCAAACATGTGCACTGAATAAGAACGCTGGAGGAATGAATCTGCATTACCATTGTCCTCATTGTGGACAAGCTTACGTTGACTTGAAGCTTCTCTTCAGTCATATGGTCAAGAAACATAGTAACACTATGGATTCTGGACCTGTCGGATTAGCTGCTACTAAGGTAAAGAAAATAAACATAAGTATTAATATTGAAGAAATTGTTGTAGAATGTTTTTGTAAAAATAAACAAACTTGTATAATATTGAAATATGTTTATATACCATAATAAACATTGATTAATTGATTTGACCTCGGAAACTTCATTAGTATTAAATGTGCTAGTTAAAACTACTGCATAAAGCTCTGTTGATATTGATAATAAAATTAATTTAACAAATATCAATAAAACACCATCTTTCAAATGGTTCTCACAAGAGGTATGGCAGCGGCACAAAGCGCCCTAGCGGATTTATTCGTTCCTCCCACAGAGGTATCCGCCGGCGTTTCTCATAATATTAATAATCCTAGTTCGCGTCATATTCCACATCGCTCATCGATCTCTATTCAATCGCAACGACTTGCCGCGAAAGCATTACATGCACGTCGCTTAGCCGAATTAGAGGCCAATCTTGACCGCGCCGCAGCTGAGCGGGAACGCGCTGCAGCGGGAGCGTATTGTAGCGACTCTAGAACTAGAGGCTGAATTAGCGGCTATTGATGAGGCCGCCAGTATACACTCACAATCGTCTAAAAACTCTAATTTACATCAGTTTTCTTCTCGTGTTAAATTATAAACCTTTTTAATACAATCGATGTCTTGTTTACTAGGAGACTCTCGAACGAGAATATCCAGAGATCTCGATACTGCCATCAACTGCGACATCCACCTCATCATCTAGTCAAATGCCATCGCCCAGTCAGAGACCACCAAATCCTGCTGAACAAGTAAATATAATACCGATATTTTATTATTAACATTAACCATTATATCATAATAATATAATCATTCTTCTCCTATTGCTGAACACATTTTATATCAGCTTCTCACAGACTGCAAAAATGAATTATATTTTATAGAACCAGATTAATAATATTTAAAAATATGTTTTTTTTAATATATTAAGTACACATTTAGATATATCTCATATATCTACAATTGTTATTTATTTTTCTTATCTACCTTTTTATTAATAATGATTGATAGGTGCATTAGTTAAGCTGTTTTTTCTTCTTCTACGGAACATCTGCAGTGGCCATTAATTAATTATTTTATATACCCAATAAATTTCTATATATATTTTCAAAAATATTTTAGATTGTTGATAATTATTAATTTATTTTTCCACAGGTACAAGCAGTCCAAAGTCTTCTATTGCAACAGTATTTAGCTGGAGGACGTAAGGGCAGTTTGCAAGAACAATTAAAAATGCAACAGCAATATACCGCATCTTTAGCTGGCTTGCCAGGACTTGCACAAGTTGCTCTCTTCTCGCAAGGGTGAGTTAAGAATTTAAGGGTTGTTTTACTCTTTTCTTTGGAAAACACTAACTTGAAGGTTGTATAACACTAAATAATCATCATAAATCAAGAAAACCGAAAAAAACCTTCACAAAATTAAAATGAGTCAGACATGAATTAAAATATCATTTAAATTACAAAATTAATTTTCCATATTGGCGATTTCTTTTTTGTGTTTCTTTTTTAATATTTAAGAATTTTCTCTTGTCGGGGCTACTAGTTTATGTATTCTTCTCCAACTAGCTCTATTCCCAAACGTCTTTGATTTTCTACATACAACATAAAAACATATAGATAAATTGATAATCTTAGAAGTTGTTCAAATATTGAGTATATATAATATTTAATAAGTAAAAAAAATATTCAGTAATTTGCAGGGCCTTCCCAGGTTGAGTACTTTATGATAAATTAATTAGCAGTTTTAGTATTTAGGTATAACTCATAATAGCAGTACATAAAATATGAAGAAAATATACATAAAAGCGTTTTTTTCTTGGTCATTTATTTTGTAACACATGGCGAAATGTAGTGGAAATCGATACAAGTTTGTAATTCGGGTAAAATAATGAAATCACCTTGTAGTCCCTGCACAGAATGGGCCACCCCTTCCTGTCCCGTAGGTGTCCTAAGAGGCGACTAAGGAAACTTAATGCTCAAGGAGTGAGCAGCAGTGTCCTTCTTAAAACATCACAAAAGTCCAACAGCTGTTGCTAAAATGCCTGCCGAGTGTGGCAACTATTAGCAAAACCTTAAAACCTTATAGAATAGGCCTGTGTCCAGCAGAGAACAGTTAACGGCTGATATAGTAATAGAATAATAAAAGAAATTGTATCAATTTGGAAAAGAAAATTTGACATTTATCTATATATATGTAAATATCAAAAATTGCATCTGACAACCCTAAATTTGAAATTTACACCTTAAATTTAAATTTTTAAATTTCATTCAATAATTTATTAGTAGTTTCAAAGTTTATTTTCTTTAATTTCTAGCGGTTCCCCCTTCCCTCTCTACCCAACGATGCTGTATCCACCCGAGTTGCTTCTAGAACAGAGTCTCCTTCAAGGACATGGACTACCACCAGGCTTGGATAAGGAAGCTGAAATGCTGGCTAAGACGTGAGTATTTTGCGAGTCTCCAAAATACATATGTATTTTTTTTTAGACTGTAACACGTTGCTACTTCTCATGCCATAATATACAGTTTACTATATGTGGTTATTAATGTCTAAAGATATGTTTTTAAAGTTATATTATAAGTGACTACTACATTATTGGCTGAATACATTATACCAGCATAGATTCCTAAAATCGGCTCCGCGGAACCTAAAGGTTTCTTAAAAAAGTTGCTAGGTTTCCGTGAATTTATTTATAGAGTGAAACAATTTTATTCTTCAAATTCAAAGTTAAAGAAAACTATAAAGTGCTATACTTTTAAAATATTTTTAGTTAAAACTTTTCTTCTTATTTAAATTACAGTATTTTTAATTTGTAATCGTTTGATATGTGGTTCCATAAAATAAAAGGTATTTGTTGGGCGTTCCGTTACCTTAAAAGTTTAGGAACCTCTGCACTATATCTAATGTTTTACAATTTTATTCTACAATTTTATTTATAAATTTTAAATAAATTTATCTCTTCACTAATTGACGTGATTATAAATAATTTGACAATTAATTAAAAATAAATTATTAATAAATAAATCAATAATAATGCATTATTAAATATTTAAACAATTATTATTTATTTAATTAATAGTTTTTTGTTCCTGTTTTACATTGATGCTGCTGGTTAATCACCTGAGCTAGCGATTAGGTAGATAATATAGTAGATAGGTAAATGGTAGATAGCTCGTGTTACTCGCTGTTGTGAATGTAGCTTTCTATAGGTGAAAGAATTTTTAAAATCGACTGCATAATTTTTAAATTCATTCATTACAAACAAACAAGCAAATCTTCTCTATTTTATAATATTAGTATAAATGAATATTAAAAAATAAACGCCATTCCTAACGTGCTATGTATTGCCAGCAGGCGTACACACACCACTCGCGGTCCTCACATGAGGGTGCTGAAAGACGAGCCGATCCCTGAGGGCTACTTGAGGTTCAGATTCAACGAGGACTGCGCATATCAGCACTGTGGATACAGGTACGTATTATTCATATTAAATGCCTTTATTATTTATTTATATTCTTTTGTACATTCACTTATAGTATTATATATTCACTTATAGATTAGGTTAGACCAAAATATACACAAGCGGACTTCTCCCTATATATATATATATATAGGAAAAGTCCCTATATATATATATATATATATAGAGAGAGAGAGAGAGAGAGAGAGAGAGATTTGTTATTATGATTATTTTGTTATCATCGTTTACATTTGTTTTGTTTGACTTTAAATGGATCTCTTTCTTTAAAAAAATTGATGCTGCTAAAATTATGTCCAAAAGAACATGCCATATGGCTGAGTGACACGATTTTAGTGTTTTTCTTTTTCTCTTTGTTCGTTTTTGTTTATTGTTAAAATATTTTTATAATTAAGTGTATAATTACACTAAATAAATATTTCTTTCTTTCCTCTTTCTAGTTTAATTATGACTTTAGCCTTTCCTTATCACTATCTGGTTCCTATCATATATGGCCTATCATGCTTTATTATCATGACGTCATCATCATCTCTCAACTATCATTTCTCATTTGTAGCTCCCTATTTTACACTACTATTGTATACTATTATGAAAATGTAAAAAAATAAAATATTGTTTCTGAAAATTTCAATTAGGCACGTCAAATAAACTTTATTATTTTCTATTGTTCTAAATATAAACATCAAAAATATAAATAAAGAACAATTAAAATATAGAATTTACCATTAACTAATTAATTCTCTATTTTCTAATCAAACAAGAGACTTCACTATCATATCAGCCTTTAACTGTCCACTGCTGAACATTAGTCTCCGCTTTGGAGGGTTTTGCCAGTAGTTGCCAAGCTTGACAGGCGGATTGGCAACTGCAGTCAGGCTTTATAGATGTTTTAAGAGTTTAATTCCCATCCCTCGCCCTTTCTTAGTCGGTTCTTATGACATCCACGGGATAACAAGGGGTGGCCTACTCTATGCCGGGACCACACAGCCAAAACAAGAGATATACCTACTAATATTACATAAATATAAGTGAATAAAAATTTCTTTATTTCAGGGAGCATCAAACTCACTTCCATTGCACAAGAAAAGACTGCGGATATTCCTTCTGTGACAAAACGAGATTTGTGCAGCACACCGCTAGACATGAGAGGTTAGTACAGAACTATAACTATAACAGAACAATTTGTGGCACCTAATTAACATGTTATTATGTTTAAAATGTCGTTTTAAACATAATAACATGTGATTTTAAACATAATAACATGTGAACACGTAAACGTTTTTTACATTTTTCGTTTTACGCGTAGGTAAATTTTTTGTGCTACTTAGAATAGCAAAAAGCTAACGGCCAATGTGATGGAAAATAGTAACTGTCGCCTATAGACATAATTATGACCGTAAAAGTTAGAACAAAAACTTCTATTTCAAAATATAACGTTCAATATTCATTCCAAAAAAACTCAATAAGTAACTTTATAAAATAGACTTTTATGGAAGAAAGGATAGTTGTAGAAAAAAAGCATTAGATATATAATATTAAACATTGTATTGTATTAAAAAATCTTTATTGTAAATAATTTATATTGGACACATTAAAAGATTTAATATACAATGGCGGATTTATCCCACAAAGGGATCTCTTACAGTCAACCTTTGAGAAGCTGAAAGAAAACTATAGAATGTTCAAGGGCAAAAACCGTACAGCTAAAGATAAACTCAATAATATGTAGTAAAAATTGAACATATCATACTTTTATTTAATATTTTTAAGAAAAATAACATTGTATATTTTTTAATTTTTTAGGTTAGACACACTTATGGGAGGCGATTTTCAGCAGTACCGCGCGAACGTATACTGCCAACGACCCGAGTGTCCACATGCATCTACTTTCGGTAGTAATTTTTTTTTATGCAATTTAGAATGGTAAACAAAGTAATGGAAAGTGGTAAGCATCGCCTACAGACATGAGCAGTACCATAGACATAACAGAGTATAGTGTTTCGCCCATGATACCCCAAATGCGTTGCCATTCCTGAGGACTCAGGTGTTATTCCACTATATCCTGTAAATTCACTGCCATATCCCACCCTTTAAACCGAAACACAGCCATGCAAACACAACTGCTTCACGGTTTAAACGAGTGGGATAGAAGTGCCCAAGCAAACGACTTTTGTACAAAGTCATTTAATTTTTATAAAATAATATTCAATTCGTAAAATACAATACAAATTTCTAGGCAAATGGTAATGGCAAGTAATCTATTGGTCCATCTAATAGAAACCAACAACAATCAAGATTGTAGGTATCTATAGAGAAAAACAGCATGTTAAACTTTACGTAATACACTGTGACGCCAATGGTACCTCTCCGTAGTAGCTGGTCCTGAGGATTTAAATCTTATGACCTCCGTACCCTGTAATTTCACTGACTTATCCCTTCAAACTAAAACACATCAAGTATAAGCTATATAATAAATATACATACTTAAAATATTTTACCATCTGGTATTTAATATTAACATTTATTTTATTTATTTATTTATTTAACTCTTTATTGCACCATAAATAAAAATATACAATGACAAGTGAATAATTCAAGTGAAACATAGTAACATAAATTTACTATCTCGTTTTCCAGGTACTGGTCAAAACAAAGCGTCTCATTTCCACTGTTTGAAGTGCGAGTTTGTATGCACCGACACCAATAAAGTTGTCGCCCATCGCCGCCAGCATCAGAAGTTGGATACCATACAAGCAGCTGGCTTTGAAAAGTTCCCACCTAGTAAAGGTAATTATTTATTTTTAACACTTTCAAAGAAAACTCATAAAAGGAATAAATACAATCATGACTGTAATCCCTGATGGGGTAGTCAGAGCAATTTGGTAACTAAAACAAAATTTTTTTTTTAACGTGACAAGCAAATTTCAACATTTTTCTATAATCTATTATAATTAAAACATTGTGGTATGACTATAATAATGGATTTTTACTAATATTTATATTAAAAATAAATTTGCACGCCATTTATAATAAAATATAGAGGCGTCCAATCTAATAATGAACTATCTGTAATACCCATATTTGAGCAAATAAATTATTATTATATTTAAAAGAAAGTGTCCATATTTTACTTAGAAAATATATTTTTGAAGCATTTTCAAAATCTCCATTTTATATCATAATTGAGAACAAATTATTATACTGGTTAAAAATTAAAAGATTCTTTAATTTTTGATTGAATTTTTAAAGATTTGGACAAGTGGAACTGGCCGTAATATTTTGGAAAGAGCAATAAAACCTATCTATAATATATACTTTATTTTTAATTGTTTTTTTTTTCAGGTTGTGGCTACGAGCCTCAATGTATCCACAGCAAGAAGCAAACCCACTATCATTGCCTCCAATGTGGTTCCGCAGTTCTCGGCTTATCGCAAATGACCTCGCACAAGTACAAACACCAGGAGGCCAACATGGGCCCCTCCACTAGTGGTACGAACTGACGAGACATGTACATAACAATTGTAATCTCGTCCACAAATGATATTGGACTCTCTGTATATAGCCTTAGAGATAGTTTTGTAATGTTTATAAAGTAACACGAGTTTGACATTCAAAATGGACAAACCAAAGTTAATGGGGACTTTTCCAGCGTTTGACGTATGATCTGAAATAATGTTACATTTATATGAAATTGTAACATTTTTTGAACTTTTTTTTATAAAAAAAAAAATCAAATTTTTGGTAACCCATTCGCTACAATCTATTACAGACAATATTATAAAATGGATATAGAGTGACATTGAAAAACTTAGAGTGACTGCCTAAAAATAATCTCGACAGAATATAATAAAACTATGTTTTTTGTAAATGAAATCATGACTATTTTTATACATGTGCCCCTCAAAAAGTGTGCCTTAATCTATACTGATGATCGAAAGTACACGCAAAATTGAGTCAACAGTCATACAAGACTGTACGACTCAAAATAGTACTGCAAGACTTTAGAGTTTACGATATATAAGATTTGTACGGACGATGTGGCAAAAAAATGTGCCAAAATAAAATGTTGACTTTTGAAATTTTATACCCTATTGTAATGCATATAAGATGCAAAATCCCTTGCAAAAGATAATTTGTAGAAATATGATTTATTATATAGGTATAATATTATGAACAAACAAAAGAATTTAACATTGTGAAATAAGAAATATATGCAAGTGCATGACATTATATATAAAAAAAAAAGTGTGTATTTCCTAAATCCCGACCAATTGTAGGCGTTAGTTTATATTAAATGTTTATATTTATTACTTCCCAATGAGAAAAGACATTTTTACGAATAGTATTATTAATTTAGACTTCGTAAATTAAAAAAAAAAGGCAATAAAAATTGGAGTGAGTACACCATTTTGTGCCTGGAAGTTTAAACATGACAATATTACACTTTGTGATAGTTTCTGATAGTAATTACGTCACAACTATCATACAATTTTATTCATACTATAAAGTTCATAAATCATCATAAAACAAAAACTATCAGAAAATATCTCAAATAATTATCTACTAGGATTACAAACAAAAAGTATATTTAATGAAAAAAATATTTAATAAATTTGTCAATTCTATAAACAAAAATCATTGTAAATAAGAATAGATTATTATATTATATATATAAAAAAAACTGTAAGTTAATAAAAATATAATTGTTAACGGATATTGGTATAAATTATATTGTATAAAAAAAAATCTCAATTGGACATTAGTGTACAGGAAATCGAGTGCTAACGTTTGTGATTCATGAGGTAGCCATAAAAATGCCATAAATTCATACGTTTATAAGTAAATTTAATTGTTTTTAATCCTAAATTCTCATTAGCAACAGTATTAGTCACCGTTTATATCCTAGAACCTTTTGCATTCCTGTTATATTCCTGGCGGCCGTTGCGAATCGTTCCATTTAGTTATAGAAAACGGTCGTCGACCGTTCTAGCGACCAAAATCGTATTGTACCCTATTCCTAGCTTTTATCAGTATTCTATAGCATATAAGCACTGTCCCGTTGTTCCTATTATGTTTTATTAACATTTCAACTAGTATCATTTCAAAAATTAAATAATTCTGTGAAAAAGTAAATCTGTTTTTTTTTTTTCTGTATCGGTGATAGTTGACGAATCATTTATTTCACAATTTGTTTTTATTGTAATTTCTTTATAAAAACATTGTATACGATAATTATCTAATTAGTCTATAATTACTGTCTTTTATATGAAACTTTTCTAAATAGCCCGTGCCATAAATTTAGTCACAATACGAAGTTGAAACAACAACTTCGTTTTCTAGTAGTTGTTTTTTTCTCTCTCTTCTCTCTCTTTTTATACTCAAATTTGTGTATCTCTATGTCTACAAGTGCAAATACTGGATAGGTATCGAATCTTTTCTTATATGAATCACACTAAAATTATGCCTAAATGATTTTTAAAATATAAGTGATATAAACATAAGTATTTTTATATTTTCCCAGGGAAACGTACGATTGCAATAAAAATTAAAATCTTTCATTTATTGGTTGTTATACATTCTTTGTTTTGTTATCTAATTTTATGTACAACGTTTTTTTTTTTATTTTCGAACTCTTTTAAGTTTTTCACCTTTCACATATCTTTCTTTTTTATTATGAGAAATAAAAAATAATTTAATCGCGTATTTATGTGTATTTTAGCATACGTAGCTTTAATTTAAGATTTTATGAATTAAAAAAAAAAGATAGTATTTTTCCCCCGAATGTACACGTATAAGTACTTTGTCCACGAGTATTATGAATTGGAGTGTTTTCCACATTTTTTTTTTAATAAAAAGTATTGTGTGTACGATATAAAAAATGTAATGTTGATGAATTCACTCAAAGTGCGTAGTGGTTGAATGTATACAAACCATATCTACAGTTTGTTATGCAAAACAATTGGTATCATATATGGAAATAGCTTAGTATTGTTTACCTCATGAGTTCTAGGTATTAAACGAAAATATTCAAACGTTTTGGTGGTTTTATTAGAATACCCGAACACCTCTAGTTTTTTTTAATTTTAAATTTAAAAATTTAAACTTAGAATGGCGAACAAGCCGATAGCCCTCCTGATGAAAGTAGTAACCGCCTATATAATATGATAATATGAACAGCCTTGTTGATTGCCTTGTACAGAAAAATAAACGTCACAGTGTATTTTTCTGTACAAAGTGTGTTTGTTTTAAACAACTTAGAATGGCAAATAAGCTCATGGAAAGTGGTAACCATCGCCTATAGACATGAGCAGTACCATGGACATAACAGAGTATACTGTTTCGCCCATAATATCCCCCATACGTTGCCATTCCTGAGGACTCATGTGTTATTCCTCTATACCCTGTAAATTCACGCCACATCCCATCCTTCAAGCCGAAACACAGCCATGCAAACATAACTGCTTCACGGTAGAAACACGAATGGGATAGAGGTACCCAAGCAATCGACTTTTGTACAAAGTCCAGATGCCACGCTTGGTAGGTGGTTTGGCAACCGCAATTTGACCTTGATGATGTTTTTAGAGGGACGTAACTGCCCATCCCTCGAATATTAAATTCCCTTAGCCGCCTCTTACGACACCCACAGTAAAGGAAGGCGTGGCACATTCTATGGCGGGACCAAATGGTGGCCACACATATTGATATAAAAAGTTGGAGAAACGTGCCGTGTTAACGTAAGCTAAGTTTGAATTTCATTGGCTTCCTTATTACACAATAGTTGCAAAAATTTTGTAATTTCAACATTGAGTTTCCTGTTAAAGCAATGAAATGAGTAAAAACAAAACTTTTAGGAAGTCTTGTTTTTAACTAAAAGTTTGGGAAATTTTATACCAAAGTACATGTTATTTTGCCTAATGAAGACACTCATTTTGTACCAGCTGAGTCCGCGACTTTATCCGCAGTGTAGTTGACAACGCACTACATAGGAAAATACATAGGAAATCTAATTTTTACATAGGAAAATTTAAACATAGGAAAGGGAGGAAAGATAATTAGTAACGCAGAATAGTAACCGCATTGCTAGCAATATACCCAGTCAGGTCGAGCACGAGGTCCCCCCTGGAAACCACCGTGTTGAATTCCACGTATATTCATCACGATGGGCTAACTGACCTACCTTTTCATCCTCACCTATCATCCCTTACTGGTGCTCCGCCAGCGTCCGTCAACGTCTATTATCGCTCATAATTACTGGAGAATTATGGAATATTAGTAATACATATTTGACCCTAACAATAAAGAGAAATCTTGAAGATTTCGAGAAGATTCCTGGAAGAGATCGCTCTTAGCGATAAGGCCGCCTATTGTTTTCTTAGTGTAATATTTTCTTGTAATTGTTTGTATTTATAATAAGTTCACTATTGTAATCTTATGGAGGAAACAATAAAGAGTATCTACCTGTCTATCTAGTTTATCATATTGCCAAATTTCAGATTTGAATCTAAAATTTGGAGGTGTTATATTTTTCAGAGTATAATACTATGTAAGTTGTTTCAAAAGATATCTTCAGTTTGCCTCAAACTTAAACAGTGGACTACCCATGTTTTCCACTACAGGTATTGTTCTTTCAAAATATATTTTTACTTATATTGAAAAAGCGCACGAGTAACCGTTTATCATTAAACGAATCATATGTTAATACTTTATATTTTTGTAGACTATTTTAATATTCCTACATTTTTTTTTATACAGGTTAGAATGGCAAACAAGCTGATGGCGCACCTGATGAAAAGTGGTAACCGTCACCTATAGACATGAGCAATACCACGGACATAACAGAGTATACTGTTTCGCCCATGATACCCCCATGCGTTGCCATTTCTGAGGACTCAGGTGTTATTCCACTGTACACTGTAAATTCACGCTATATCCCACCCTTCAAACCGAAACACCGCCATGCAAACTAATAAAAAAAAAATAGGCACAGTAGGTACAATTTTGTTATTTTCTTACGCCTTCAATTACAAAAGTAAGACTATGAATGAAGCAATCAAACTTCGGCCGAGTCGAAACTTGTTCGTGAAACTTATTTAACTTTTAACTGTTTTGTGCAAACTTTCGTCTCGGTAGCGAGAGTTTTGACATTGCGAACTCGTTTATTTATTAATATTAGCATTTTATTCCCAAGTATAAATGGTTAAGCATTTTTTTTTATTACGATTTGATACTTGACAGTTTTACTGCATAATTGCAAATTGATATGGAAATATTATAAAAATATACAAAGTCTTATTGCAGTAATTATTAAGTGATTGAAAATTTTCGAAGCAGTTGGAACTTGATACCGCATCTTCTATACTATACTATCCTTTTTTTCTATTTTACCCGTGTGGAGTACAGGCCACATATATTATTTCACATATTATACATCACCAGAGGGAGACTTTGTACAAAAGTCGATTGCTTGGGTACCTCTGTCCCATTCGTGTTTCAACCGTGAAGCAGTTGTGTTTGCATGGCTGTGTTTCGGTTTGAAGGGTGGGATATGGCGTGAATTTACTGGGTACAGAGGAATAACACTTGAGTCCTTAGGAATGGCAACGTATGGGGGGTATCATGGGCGAAACAGTATACACTGTTATGTCCATGGTACTGCTCATGTCTATAGGCGACGGTTACCACTTTCCATTAGGTGGGCCGTCAGCTTGTTTGTCATTCTAAGTTGTACAAAAAAAAATATTTATATATTTATATTATTATTTACCAAATTCGAAATTGACACGCATCTCTATTGTTTCTTTTTGGTTTCCCTTCACAGCCTTTGTCTTCTCTTTTTGTTAATATACATACCTATAGTTCCAATTCGTGATTTTTCTGACGCCTAAAATCCGACTACTGTAAAAAGTTATAAGGTTTTGAGATGCATGTAAAATATGCCCTTCTTTTCTTCTTTTTTACTCTGTGTCGGGAATAAAACACAGTATATATCTTTCTCAATCTCAAGTAGTTTGTATCTAATAAGTATCGTACCAACTGAAGGTACCAAGAAGTACACAATAAGACAGAGAATCCATCTTCATGCACTAAAACCCAAATGGTCGCGTACTGTGCAATTTCCTTCTGCAAACGTTCAGGTTGTGGAATGAACTCCCTGCTGAGGTTTTCTCTGGATACCACAGTAAGTGGTTTTTCAAAAAAATTTAAGATTTCTTCAGGGTCAGCATCACGGATGTGATATTCCTAGTGTTGCAGGTATCCATAGGCTATGGTGACCGTTTACTATTACGTCCACGTGGTATAAAAAAAATACAAAGTCTTACATTTATAAAATCAGTAAGGATTTGTTTTAAGCATGAGAGTGAATCAAAAAACCCTTACTGTATAGGTAAAGTACCATATAAGTTCTGTATTATGTATACTTTACTAGCTGTGTCCCTTGGCATCGCCTGTGTTCGTATCGTGATGCTGCCTTTTGCCTTTCTCACGAAAAGAACTATCAAATGCTAGAAGAATTTTTCGAATCCGACTGGTAGTACCAGAGATTAAAGCATTTAAACAAACAAACAATCTCTTCCACTTAATCTATTAGTATTTATCACTGTAAGGGATGAGTTGGTAAATACATTACCAACAATAAATAGATTATTCTGCTCAGGAGTAGGTAACTATCTTTATTTTTCAAAAAAACCACCAATTAATATACATTTTAAAACATTAATTATTATGGATAATTTAATTTGTATACCTAATTTACGTACAGACGCGGCATCGCTACATTGAATTTTATTGTCTACAACATAAGGTCATATATCATTTGACACAGATTTATTGTCATTAAAAATTATTGTCCAAAACACAGACCGCGCTGTATATGGTTATTACGCTATATAGCATATTGATTTTTAGCTATCAACCATCGAATGTTACGTATTTGAGTATTCATAGACAATAGTTTTTTTTTTTTTTTATATAAAGAAGTGTATTGAATCGTTATTAAAGAAATATATTATTGTATTTAATTTTATTATTAAGATTTTATCTTGTAATGACGATGTAAAATTAAAATAAATACACAAAGCTTTCCACGTGTATTACATAAAACTTTGGCATATTGAAGAAAGCTGTATGAATTAGTTCCTTAGCTTAAAAATGGACATATTATTTTTTTTTACATTCGATGGCTTCACATATATTTATCACATAATGCAGAAATATAATACTGATATGGTAAATTATATGTTTCCAGTTACTGTGACTTCATAGTCCAGGGATATGTAAATGCGAAATGTCTACGCAATATATCATACGATTTATTAATTAAACACCTATTTATAATTGCAATACGCTTCCAATAAACACTACTCAATGTTTTATCCACTATCTAATTTATTAATGATATTTTTTTTTATAAGACAATAAAATAATTTGTAAAACTCTACCGAATATTGTTAGAAAATTATATATAAATAAAAATATGTATAGATAATCTCGCTAAATCGTAATATGTAGGATATGACACATCCTACAATAAACCCTTTACAATAAATAGAAGATTAATGAATTCATTGACTTGCTTAAAGCCATCATAATACATGTGTTTATATAATTTTAAAGCCAAATTTCATAGTCTGTGAGGTTATGTCGACGTGTTGGGTCGATACTTACAAGTCGATAGTTGATTAGATATAATAATAAATATAGTACACAAATAGATAACAATTTCCTTAGAATTACAGCCTCCGCTTCATGGCAACACTTTTTTTGGGTAACATTTGATAGGTAATGGCAACACTGTTAAAATGGAGATAAGCGACCGACGAAACACCGTCGCCATTCGTTTTTTTATCCGGAACTTTCATTATTGTCTCGCTTTGTCGATATTTTAAAATATTTTTTACTCCTTCAAAAATACCTTCGTATTTTTAATCGTCATAGGTACCTATCAGGCTGCCCCCAACCCTACACCTAAGATCCAATAGTACACAAATATTAAATAAGCCGCGCGAGGCGCGCCAATTGCTAATTTACAATTAACTATTACAATAAACATGAAACATTTAAACGTAGTTAAAGCATTTATCTGTCGGACCTCGGTTGCGCAATTACATCGTACGATATTCACAAATTTGATTCGCACAAAGCACATCCGAAATCGACTTAGCCGTCTTGAAGGCTTTTGAAGATTATATTACATGATAACTATCACTTAGTGACTAATCACAACAATGATTATGTATATATTTGGTGAATAAATAATCTACGGAGCCCGTAGTGACTTCCAGACAGTTATTGTCAGCCTAGTATATAACATTCCTATAAAGATAAAGTCATAGTCGTGAGTATTCTACATTTTTTTTTTCAAATAATACTGAATAATACAATAAAAATTTTAGCAACAAGCAAATGAAAATTCATATTGGCAGTTCGCACACAAATATAAGTACATCACAAATTACGAATACAAAATTATTTTTATTCTAATTTATAATGCGTTTAAATTAACTTAAATAATTATAAATAGGTATCTACATTAAAAATTAGCGAGCGTCTAATACTAAAACATGTAAACGATAGTAAACATATATTGATACTTGAGTATTTTTCGCTTCGATTCCAAGAGGCCGTCGGGCTCGGACTGTACCTCGTAAATATATATTTATATAAAAAGAAACTATACAAAATTGATATTAAAAACAATACGTCAAAAATCAGACCTTTGATTATTAATGTTGCTAGTAGAGACATCTCATTAAATGGGAGAATCAAAGCGAAAACCTGGCAATCTTTGTCCGGCTTCCCGCCGCGTTCTAAATAATTAGATTCTTATTTTAAAATGAAAATATATAATTTTCGACACCCTTATTTTCTACGAAACATCAAATTGTAAAACACCCATACAATATTATTGTCAGAGTATAATAATATAAATTTATTATGTTGCAACATTATCGTCGAATTAATTATTTAAGGAATTGACGGGTGTTAAAGGATTAATTGCTCGATTTGTATACGAATAGTGATTTATTGTCACATTTGGAAGTACCGTAATTCCATGGTGTCCTATTAGGACTTATATTCGAAGAACTATCCCACTTTTCTTAAACCTATCGAAAAATACAATGCGATTATTCAAAAGGGGTATATTAAAAAGTCAAATATCTACATAGAAAATGGGGAATAATTATAAAAATATTGCAGTAAGTAAGTTTTGCCCAAGCTCGCGTATAGGGGACAAACTGTCGACCAAGCGAAGCGAAGATATGATTTCGATATGGCGTAGAAACAATAGTTGGAATTAAAGCCCTTCGCGGGAAGGTTCCCGTAGAATGTTCTAGAACGTTATAGAAAGTCCGCCCTTTGAGTCCGAGGGGTGGGGGAGGGTTCAGTACGCATAAGGGACGTACTCAGGGGCTAAGTAGTCGAAGAACGGGTGATAGAATGTACGGCGGACTGGTGGCAGCATCACGTCGGAATACCGAGAGAACTGAGAGATCTGGCGGCTTCCAGGTGAAGGTGGTTTCCTGAAATGATAAAATATATGTATTTTAATACTAATTCCTTTTTTACTACATGAAATGACAAATAATGACAAAGATTGACGAATCCTCGATGGAAAGTTCTAACCGTTGCCTAGACATGAACACGGCAGTATGCACATCACTGTGACCATAGTATCGCTTATGAATAGACATTTTAGTTAATAAAATGTTACGCTTATGTACCCTGTAATTTAACAGCCATGTCCCTTCAAACTAAAATACAACTATGCTAGCGCATCTACTAACTTAAAATAAGTTTTGTAACACTCAGTACTCTATTTATATAGGATATAAGGGGGGGGGGGGGGGGGAGGGACTATTAAAAATGGGGTCTAACTTTTTTTTTATACAACTTAGAATGACAAACAAGCTGACGGCCCACCTGATGGAAAGTGGTAACCGTCGCCTATAGACATGAGCAATATCATGGACATAACAAAGTATACTATTTCGCCCATGATACCCCCCATGCGTTGCCATTCCTGAGGACTCAGGTGTTATTCCTCTGTACCCAGTAAATTCACGCCATATCCCACCATTCAAACCGAAACACAGCCATGCAAACACAACTGCTTCACGGTAGAAACACGAATGGGACAGAGGAACCCAAGCAATTGACTTTTGTACAAAGTCTCCCTCTGGTTGGTCCTCCCTAACATTCCCGTTATTAGCAATATACCATAATCGTTCGTCACGATGGGCTAATTGACCTGCTTTCGTCCTCACCTATCATCCTTTACTGGTGTCCCGTCAGCGTATATCGATAACGAAGGCGGTATCAAAAATGATACCATTCCATTTACACCCATAAAAATCTATCTATATATACATACATATATATGTTTATATATATAATATAGAAAATTACAGTTCTTTTTTATAAATGCCATTGACTGTTTCAATATAATTTATAGTATAATAAACAAAAAAGTAATCTTACTTGTTGTGCCTTGCGCTGGGCTCGTCAGCAGAATACTCCACTTGTAAGGGCTGCAGACCTCGTGGCTCCTGTTCACCATAATTGCCATATACGTAGTCATCACCACTGTAAATAAAAATAAACATGCTACTCAATCACATTAATAACCTAATCCCCAAGCCAAGGGAGAAAGGGATTGTTAGCAATGGAGTTTGACAGCTCCATTGCTAGGAATATGCTCTACTAGGTCGACCTCCACGTGGTTCCCCCTGGAAACCATCGTGAACTATTCTTGTTGAATTCGTCACGATGGGCTAATTGACCTGCTTCATCCTCACCTTTCATCCTTCACTGGTGCCCCGCCAGTCTATACCGATAGCGCGGGTGGGGTTACCATTCCATTAAAAACCATTAAAAAAATCCTCAACCCAGGGTACACTGTGTTGGAAGAAACCAGTTAAAGAACATTTGAATACGCCCCTAAATGTTCGTTGACTCTTTCCTAGCCCTGAACACCCAGACCTGTGTCATTTCATATTCAAAATTTTTCACCGTATAATTACATTTCGCATACATAAAGCGCTCGAAAGCCCTGATTAAGGGGTTTTCTAAGAATTAAGAAATTAACTCTTTTGAGTAAAAACAAAATGTGTACTACCAAAAACTTTTACTAGACACTGCAAACTAAACAAATCAAAACATGGCCCAACAAGGCCTATACCCAAAAAGTGTTTGCAGATTTTGAGGATGAGGAAGAAACGCCGCAGTACTTAATTTGTGGCTATAGCCCACTCGTAAACGATATATCTCCTTTAGAAAATACACTTTAAATCGCGAAGCGATACGAAACATACAAAGAACATCTTAACATTCTTACATACCAGAGGGAGACTTTCACGACTTTGTACAAAAGTCAATTGCTTGGATACCTCTGTCCCTTTCGTGTTTCAACCGTGAAGCAGTTGTGTTTGCATGGCTGTGTTTCGGTTTGAAGGGTGGGATATGGCGTGAATTTACTGAGTACAGAGGGTATCATGGGCGAAATAGTATACTCTGTTATGTCCATGGTACTGCTCATGTCTATAGGTGACGGTTACCACTTTTCATCAGGTGAGCCGTCAGCTGGTTTGCTATTCTAAATTGTATAAAAAAAATCTTATAACTGATACAAATTAGCAGTGAACTTTAAAAAAAAAGGCGAGTACAAAAAAAATTATGATAAGGTCGCAGTATCATAAGTTTTTCTGCCTGGTAAAGTCAATAATAATAACCATCTTAACTCAATAGAAAACTCCGAAGCAAGCGTAGAAACATATGACAATATGAAATAATAAAAGATTTTTAGTAAGTCTACTAAAATAAAATTTATATTCAATTTAAATTTAACAAGAATGTATAAGATAATGTTATTTATCTAAGAAAATATATACAATTACGTACAGCAACAAGTGGTCATAATGCGGTGATGTAAATATCTTTTGACGCAATATTTTAACGCCACGTCAGATTATATCCGCTGGAATACTTTAATATTCCTCCGTTCCTCGGAAAATTACCCGCAGTTCCGACGCTCTACAGTTAAAGTGGGACAAATTAATACTAATCCGCAGAAAGAGAATAATTTAAAATAAAAAAAACGTGTGCATACAGAAGATATGATTTAATAATTAATAAAAAGGAATTACTAGAGGGAGACTTTGTACAAAACTCGATTGCTTGGGTACCTCTGTTCCATTCGTGTTTCAATAGTGAAGCAGCTGTGTTTGCATGGCTGTGTTTCGGTTTGAAGGGTGGGATATGGCGTGAATTTACTGGGTACAGAGGAATAACACCTGAGTCCTCAGGAATGGCAACGCATGGGGGGTATCATGGGCGAAACAGTATACTCTGTTATGTTCATGGTACTGCTCATGTCTATAGGCGACGGTTACCACTTTCTATCAGGTGGACCGTCAGCTTGTTTGCCATTCTAAGTTGTATAAAAAAAAATTAAGAAATACAAATTTTGTTGACAAAGTAAGAATACAAGGTATCGTCACTCCCTATTATTCCCATTGTATCAACTAGGGATCAAAATACAAAAGAATGAATTATTTATTTTTTTCTTCACAAAAGATAGTAAAATTAACAGTTTGCGGTACAATTAAATATATTATACCAGTTTTGTGAGAGACTGTTAGACATCAAAAACAAAGCAGGCGCAGTAGATTTGTAAACGACCTGTGTTACAAGTCACCAGTGTCCCATCTCCATGAACTACACAAGTATAAGGCAACCAATAAATGTTACAATAGACAGATAAAAAACAATAAAGAAATATAAATTACGAGAGTAAACTTAATCTATAAAATAGGCATATGCATTAATATTGTATTATATTTAATGTTTGTTATATGTGTTATAATGCAATATGCTGTTGGTGTTCCTTAAAATAAATAAATAATTAAAATAAATAACATTGAAAATTATTTGAATTGTAATTAAGGTAAAAATTATTTGCAACCTACAGACTTTGTGTGTATTTGTGTGAGTGTGCATTTGTGTAGGTGTGTGTGAAAGGAAGAAAAAGAGTATAGATGGAGTAAGTGTAAGAGATACATTAATGCTAGAGAAGAAAAGCTCTAAATAAAATACCTAATATCTATAGCCAGCATAATAATATGTGATCAGCGTAAAAATAATGTAAAACTTTAAAAAACAACGTCGGTACAAAAGATACTATAAAAATATAAATAAAACGAAAACAGGTTTTTTGCTGACTTACTAACAATACAATGTACTCCTATCATCGCTTTATTTCATCCTCGGGATATCGAATAAGGGATCAGACACCAAATAGCAAAACACATAAATTACCGAAAATACTAAAGGAGGAAAACTTGAAATAAAATACTTTAGCAAACCACCCGGGCGGCGTAATAATACGAGCGTAAATACAGAGTTCGAGTGAAAATAATATAAAATTTTCAAAAACGCACAACAGAACTTATCTAAAAAAAAAATTTATTATATTTTTTTTTGTTGGTGAAGTAAAAATACAATGTATTATTGATTCTTCATCCCCGGAATGTTGATTAAGACGTCAAATATACAAATAACAAAACACATAAATTACAAGAATAATAAATGAATTAATTAAGAATGTCTTTTTTTTTTATATTCTCAATTTAATAATGCACCATCTACTTATTTCTCGGTTTTCCCATTGATTGACTGATAGAGAAAACCGTCCGGTGTTAAGTCCATCATATGTACATAATTTCACTGTGCATTAAAGTTTAAATAAATAAATCATAATACTAAAGAAGGAAAACCCGAAATAAAATGCTGTACCAAACCGTCTGGCCATATACTTTACATATTAAACATTTTAACTACAATTAATTATTAATGTTATTGTGATGGAGAATTTGTTTGTTTGTTACATCTTGACACCATAATAGCTTAGCCAAATATCATGAAATTTGATTTACATATCTTTAGGATGGTGGGTGTCGTGAAAGTCGAATAAGGGAACTTAATGATCAGTGTCTCTCTTTAAACATCATTAAAGCTTAACTACAGTTGCGAACTAGCCTGCCAAGTACGAATATAAACTTAATAATATAACTTTTCCCTATTGGGAGCTTCTGCCAATAATTTTTTTTTTTTTATACAACTTAGAATGGCAAACAAGCTGACGGCCCACCTGATGGAAAGTGGTAACCGTCACCTATAGACACAAGCAGTACCATGGACATAACAGAGTATACTGTTGGGCGTATCATGGGTGTTTCACCCATGATACGCCCCATGCGTTGCCATTCCTGAGGACTCAGGTGTTATTCCTCTGCACCCAGTAAATTCACGCCATATCCCACCCTTCAAACCGAAACACAGCCATGCAAACTGCTTCACGGTTGACACACGAATGGGACAGAGGTACCAATCGGCAATCGACTTTTGTACAAAGTCTCCCTCTGGTGTTTTGACAATAATTGCCATCAACTACTGGCAAAACCTCCCAATAGGGAAAAGTTCATATTCAGCAGTGGACATTTAACAGCTGGTATGGTGATAATAATCTATGGGATGGCGAATGAAATAGGCACATTGACATATCCCGATTACGCGGACGAAGTCGCGGGTAAAAGATAGTAATACACGTTCTTAATATATCTCTGGATTATATTGAGACATTAAGGTCGAAGGGCAGTCCAACCGTACTTAAAATACCCTCCCTTTAAATGAGAAAGGGTCCTTATACGAAATAAGTGTCTCATCGTATTACAGATTACGCCGAGTTAGGGAACCCTTCCGATTTTTCTCAAAAAGATGTTAAGCTTTTCTCCTTCCATTTACCGTTAGCTGTCAGGATTATTTTTATAAAATATATAGAGGATTATTTGCCTCATTTTGTGTAGGCACATAGGCTGTCACCTTTAATCCTGAATGGGACCACCATCATCATCATATCAGCCGTTAACTATCCACTGATGAAGATAAGCCTCCCCCCATTGAGGGGTTTTTCAGAAGTTGCTACGCTTGGTATGCGGGTTGGTAACCCCAGTTAGACTTTGATGATTTAAAAGGAACGTTACTGTCCATCTCTATAGCATTTAGTTCCCATAGCCGGCTCTTACGAGGTAAGAGGTAGCCCATTCTATGTCGGAAGTATACGGTTAACATGAGTGAGTACATACATATATATAACTACGGACTATGGTGTTATACTTCCATACTCTGTAATTTTACTTCCGTATCCCATTCTTCAAATTTAAACATAGCCATTGTAAAACAATTACTCCATTATCCTAAGGTTGTTTTGAAAGATTGCTCTCAGCAATAAGACCACCTTACTGTACGTATCTGTATCGTTATATTTATTAATTGACTTTTTTAATTTTTTTATGCAACCTAGAATGACAAACAAGCTGAAGGCCCACCTAATAGAAAATGGTAACCGTCGCCTATAGATATGAGCAGTACCATAGACATAACAGAGTATACTGTTTCGACCATGATACCCCCCATGCGTTACCATTCCTGAGAATTCAGACATTATTCCTGTGTACCCTGTAAATTCACTGCCATATCCCACCCTTCAAACCGAAACACAGCCATGCAAACACAACTGCTTCACGATAGAAACATGAATAAGACAGAGGTGCCCAAGCAAACGAATTTTGTACAAAGTCTTCCTCTGGATTTTTGGTGTTTTCTATATTGTATAATTAAAATAAAGTATATTCATTATTTCATTCATTCATTCACAGGAACACGAGTGGGACAGAAGTACCCAAGCAGAGGACTTTTATACAAAGTAAACATTAACTTACCCGCGCCCTGAAGTGATCTCCTTCAATTCCTGTTTCTGTTCCGTGTCGTATTTCCTCTGCAGTTCACGCACGTGCTCTTGTCTGATCAACTTCTTCAGAGCTTCGAACCTAAATATTAAAGAGAATAATGAAAAAGGAATTAATATTGATTAGTAGTAATATGTAGTAATACATATTTTAAACATTAGTACTTGTAGCAATTTAGCTGCCTGCTAACGACATGCTTTCCAACTGTATTGGGTTGACTGGAAGAGATCTCTGTCAGAGATAAGTCCACCCTATCTTACAACATTTATAAATGCATTAACAATGTAATTTACAAGTGCAATAAAGAATATCTAATATATAAAATTCTCGTGTCGCGGTGTTTGTTACCAAACTCCTACGAAACGGCTTTACCGATTTTTATTAAATTTTGTGTGCATATTGAGTAGGTCTGAGAATTGGCCAACATCTATTTTTCATACCCCTCAATGATAAGGGTGACCCACCCTTAAATATTTTTTTAAAATTTTTTTGAAAATTTTTTTATATTTAATTTATTATGTTTAGCATTGAAAAATACATACAAATTCAAATTTTCACGCTTTTACGATCAATCTCTGTTTTTTAATCGCGATTATTATATGCCGCGATAGGCTTGCAAGATGGCAATTGAATATAATAATTGTAGTAGGATACATTTTTATCTATTAGTGCTCGAAACAATGTTAAAACATTGAAACAAACATATGGTAAAACAATGTTTGCCGAGTCAGCTAGTATATATATATATATATATATATATATATATATGTACGTGACATTACCAGGAAACTATCTCTATAGATATCTATATATAATCTGTATCTTTACTAATAGTAATAATATCTATATAAATATTATAAAAAGGAAAATTTTGATTATTTAAATTACTCAAAAATTACTTCACCGATTTTAAAAATTCTGTCACATATAAAAAGCTTTGTTATCAGCGACTAACACGGTCTATATATTATTTTCACAAGAATTGGAAAATCCCTATGAAATTACAATAATAGAGCCCAAACCCAATATTTTTTTTTTATACGCGACTGCCCAAATAAAAGGTGTGTACTGATTCAGGTTTCATGTATGTGATTTTTTTTTATTTCATCATAACTTCTAAATGAACACATTTCTATGTACAGGTAAATATTATTAAAGTCTACATCATTCCGAATAATACTAACACATTTTAAAAAACATTAATATGGCGGCTGTTTCGCGCCATTTTCAAATGTGAAAAACATAATTGGAAATGGTTGGATTTTCGTGTTATTTTCTTTTTTTTTTAATTATGAAAACTTATTTAATTTTACCTGTCTCGTTGTGGTGGTACCATGAAGGTGGACCCTCGAGGTCGCGACGGGCCCGGGTACCGGAGGATCTTGCCGGACGTATGTGGTACATTCAGCATGCCAAACATCTGTAACAAATTGCATATATACATATATTGTTGGGTAAAGTTAAAATTTAGCATATATATAGTTTGTTGCAATAAACTTTACGTAATCCTTACTAATATTATATGTAAAAATACGTTTGTTTGTTTGTTACCCTATAACCTCTTAAGAGACCATTATGAAATATTTATATGGATAAAATCATTTTACGCCGACACCAAAATTTATATAATTGAGATAAGGGTAGGAAATTGATGACAATGATGAATAAATATACATACAATAAATTAGTAAAACGACGTATTGTAGTACTTTGTTTATTTTATCATAAGTATCACCTTGTTCGAATACGCATTTTAATTTATCAAAAATATCGCTAGATGGCGCTGTGTACTAAAACGTACAAAACATTTCACAGCTGGTTTATCCCTTCTTTGCATAATGTCGGAAATTTCCATCATAACACTGAATGCCCAAAAGTTATATAAAAAAATAATTTTATTTAAGTTGAACGTATCTGAATACCTTTTTAATGTCCATTGCAGAAAAAAAACATAGCTGTCAAATTTATTTTTTTAACCATTTTTCCTTTAATTTGGACATGAATTATATCACCTTGATTTATTTTACCAATAACAAAAAAACCATATATATACATATATATTTCGAAGGAATAGGAATATACATAGGAATGTACCCGTTTCTCGTACAAGTCAGTGTTCTGTTATTGCTATTAATAGAACATATATTAATTTTAACCAAAATAACTTAATTTATGTTCATATAATTATAGATTAATATTCTCTGATATTCCGGCACTACAGAGAAGCGAGTGTGAAGAGGCTACCAATTCCAATTATAATACCAAATTTAGCTTTGAGTTCTTAAATGATAAAGAAAAATATAAATGTTAAATGGTTAATCAGATATGTCACCAGAGGGAGACTTTGTACAAAAGTCGATTGCTTGGGCACCTCTATCCCATTCGTGTTTCAATGCAGTTGTGCTTGCATGGCTGTGTTTTGGTTTTCGGATATGGCGTGAATTTACTGGGTACAGAGGAGTAACACCTGAGTCCTCAGGAATGGCAATGCATGGGGGGTATCATGGGCGAAACAGTATACTCTGTTATGTCCATGGTACTGCTCATGTCTATAGGCGACGGTTAGCACTTTCCATCAGGTGGGCCGTCAGCTTGTTGGCCATTTAAAGTTGTATAAAAAAAAATTGTAAATTATGTTGTAATTTTTATAATTAATTATGTTTATTTATTATTACATTTATTTTATTATTGAATTAAAATCTTTACTAGACAAGTAATCAGTATATAAATAAATCATTTTATAAGTAAATCACTTTTATTTTCATCTCATGTGTTTCTAATTTTTAAATATTTCACACCTGCATTGTGGCAAAAGATTGGACTATAATTTTCTTCTCATGTAACAGTTATAAAAAGTGCCTTATTTTTAAGCAAATAAATAAATTCTATTTTATGCTGTTCTATAACTTTTACCCGCGTCTACGTCCGCGTGACTGGTATATATTTACTGATCGAGGTAAAAAGTAGCCTATGTCCTTTATTCCATATAGTTAGTACCCATATACCAAATTTTATAATGATTTATTAAGCTTTAAATGCGCCAAGAAATAACAATTTGTTTTTTACCTCTTAGCGATTTAACGGCAATACGTAACAAACTTAATACTATTTACTAGATTTTATTCGCGACTTCGCTCACGTCAACAGAGATTTTGTTCAAGAATTCTGGTTACTATATATGGTATAGATAAAGTTAAAATAGTTACAAAAAAGTCACCACCTTTTAAGGAGTAGTTTGATATATATGTATACTTTAATACTTATAAATAGTATATCTGCAAATTTTGAAACAAATTGGACGCAATAAAAAGTTTCATACAAAAATTAAATTCAAATTTTTCGTAAAAAAAATATTATTTTATTTACAAGTTTCTATATACAATATATCCAAAATAAACTTTAATAAAACAAAGTTTCAATTGTGCCCTTCATGCGATATCGCAAGGGGAGCTAGTAAACAAATAAGAAATATGTTATTCAAGTAAACCTAAATTTAAACATTTTTTGATAGTCATTTTTTATAACTCTATAGTCAATTGGAAAGCAATTTCAACTAAAGAGAACGGGTAAAACACGCAGTTGCTGCTGTATAAATAAATAAAGTAAAATTATGATAAACTTATAATTTGTATGTGATGTACTGAAAAATATTAAAATATAACAATAAAAAAAAAAATACAAAAGGGTAATATTTAATTAAAAATTACAAAAAGGGAGCTTTCGAGCCTGCCAGGAGTCGAACCTGGAATCTCCTGATCCGTAGTCAGGCGCGTTATCCATTGCGCCACAAGCCCACATGACGTACGTATCGAAATTACAAGTCACTTTCTTCAGTCCACATTGTTGAATCTATTTTTACATTATTAGCTAATCTAGTACACGTTTTTTTCCTATAAATAACTGTCCCCTACCCGTTTCATTGCTTTATTATCGAGATAAAAAATGAGCAAACTACATATTATTCGTATATACTTACATTTAAAAATCTTATTAAAATCGGCAAAACAATTTCGGAAATTAGCATTGACATATATCACAACACGAGACTTTTATAAAATTATTTCAATATTACACATAATAATAAAATATTATTACAATACAAACAAATAATTATATATATAACCTATATACAAAGCAAATATTACACAAAAATTTTCTTTCTTAACTCTTGAACGATCCTTTGTAAAAACTCATAAATACTTCTTAAGGATTGAGGAAATTAAACATTTCAAAAGAATCTTCAATGGAAAATAAATATATAATTTCCTGTCATGGCGGAATAGATAACTGTTTATACTCATTCCTTGCACTGCCGTGAAACATTGTGTATTTAAAAAAAAAAGTCAAAGCGGGAAACGGTAAATTGTCGAAACTCACAAATGTAATTACTCGAAGATCTTATTTATTTGGAACATTTTACTTTTTAAAACAGCCCTTCTGTCTGTTCTTTGAAGTGAGTTTGCTATTGTTTCCTTTGATTCTTCTTTGTCGTTATAACGCGCCTCTGTGATGCAACCTTAACGATTAACGTTGTTTTTCGTCGTTTCCGGCTTTTGTTTTATTTTTTAAATACAACTTTTTCTATTTTTTTTTTCAACTTAAGAAGTGTTTTAAATTCTTTTTTTTTAATTCAATTGTTTTAATTTGTACAGTCTTCTCTTTTCGAGTGTTAACGTTCATTAGACGAATTGATTTTTTTTTCGTATACACTCTTGACGCAATGTTGACTTGACGTCCTTCATACATATATACTAAAAGACCATTTAAATCATCCAGTCTCAGCTACATATTACTTTGATAGCAAACAAACATACGGCCCGTCTGATGGTAAACGGGATTACCGTAGACTATGGACGCGTCGCCGACCCATACAACAATATAGGCTATCAACAGCAACACAATGACACTGTGGACATAACAGAGTATACTGTGTCGCCCATGATACCCCTCATATGTTCCCATGCTGAGGACTAAGGTGTTATGCCTCTGTACCCTGTAATATCACTGTCATATCCTATCCAATTCAAACCAAAACACAACCATGTAAAGACAATTGCTCCACAGTACAAACATGAATGCGACAGAGTAATCCAAGCAGACGACTTTTATACCAAGTATTCAAGTTCACTGGTAAAAGTCGCCTGCCAAAATTGGCAACCACTGCCAAAACTCTCCTTATGGGGAAGGCAACGGTAGACAGTCAACAGGTGAAATGACTTTTAAAACACTTCTTTAACAATATGTTAAACATTTCAACTAAACACTATGTAAAAAAAAATAAAAAAAAGTCTTTTTTAATGGATGATAATGGAATGGTTACCCTGCCTACGCTAACAGTATACGCTGGAGTACCAGTGAGGGATGATAGGTGTGGATGAAATACGGGTGAGATAACATAAAACAACTAACCCTTTCCCCCCGGGGGGAAAAGGATTGTTAGCAATGGAGTTTGACAGCCCCATTGCTAGTAATATACCTTATTAGGTCGACCTCCACGTGGTTCCCCCTGGAAACCATCGTGAACAATTCTTGTTGAATTCGTCATGATGGGCTAACTGACCTACTTCATCCTCACCTATCATTCTTCACTGGTGCCCCGCCAGTGTATACCGATAGCGCGGGTGGGGTTACCATTCCATTACCATCCATTTAAAAAAACCTTCCCCCCCCCCCCCATAAAAGAATAGTCGGTACTAACCTCGTCATAGTCTGGTGTGCGGACAACATTTGGGGGCGCTTTGGTGACGACCCGGCCGTACGCCTCCCGCGGCAGCGTAGGATACTGGTATCTAAACCTGTTGAAAACATAAATTATGGTCAAGCACAATTTATTTCTTGTCTGGTTGTCTGGAAGAGATTGCTTAGCGATAAGGCCGCCTTTTGTATCACTTCTCATTACAATTAACTGTATTTACTATTTTATAAATAGTGCAATAAAGTGTAAAATAAATAAATAAATAAATATTACTTAATTACAGACGAGGAAAAGATATTTTTAGTAATGGGGATGTTACTCCCCATTACTAGCAATACAAGTGGTTTCCGATGGAGATCATCGTTTTTAATTCTTGATGAATTTATCACGATTCTTCATTCATACAGCTGTCATTTCTTGCTGGTGCCCCGTCAACTTATACCAATAGCACAGGTGAGGATATAATTGTATATTATTACCCTATTTATATGTAAATGCGAAAGTTTGTAACGATAGATGGCATTTGTTACTTTTTTACGCAAAAACTGCTGAACTAATTTGTATTGAATCTTGACTTTTTATTGATTAGCCAGTCATCAATAAAACAAAATATTTCGCACCAAAATCCATCATGAGTTAATATATTTCAATTTATCTTCTCTACCTTCAGTTATACTGGGCCCATAACATAACAGTTCATAGTATCTTAATACGTCTGGATTGGCCAGTCCGGTTTCTTTGCCCTTAGGATACTGTTGGCGTAAGACAATGGATATCACGATATACGCAATGTCGCCCATGGCATCCCCCATACGTTTCTATTACTACGTCTTAAGTGTTATGCTTCCGTACTCAGTAACTTTACTGACATATCCCATCTATCTTTCAAATAAATATGAATCAGCAATAGAATAATAAGTGAACTTCGCTGTGAACAGAAGTACTCATGTGTGTAGTCTTTTATTCCTTTACTTTCGAATTCACTTCAAAAACATGTATTAAATTCGATAGTATTTTTTCTGTATTTTAATATTATAATAATATTTCGGTAATTTAATGTTGGTCTCATGTTATTATTTTTTTTATACAACTTAGAATGGCAAACAAGCTGACGGTCCACCTGATGGAAAGTGGTAACCGTCGCCTATAGACATGAGCAGTACCATGAACATAACAGAGTATACTGTTTCGCCCATGATACCCCCCCCCCCCATGCGTTGCCATTCCTGAGGACTCGGATGTTATTCCTCTGTACCCAGTAAATTCACGCCATAACCCACCCTTCAAACCGAAACACAGCCATACAAACACAGATGCTTCACGGTTGAAACACGAATGAAACAAAGGTACCCAAGCAATCGACTTTTGTACAAAGTCTCCCTCTGGTTATATAATCAACAATTCAAAACATATTTTAAGTACACAATCGGGACTTAACGCGATGAAAACCCTTTGCAGGTGAATAGTCTACCCTTCACCTACACGCTACCTACACAATCTTTGTCTGCCAGCTCGTGCTGGCAAAGTCACCGCTATATATAGTCACACTAAACGCTGCTTCAATCCTGTCTTGACCACGACGAGATGCAATCCACGTCGAAACATCGACAATAAAGAAGCAGGTATGTAGGTAGTATATATATATATATATATATATATATATATATATATATATATATATATATATATATATATATATATATATATATATATATATAATATGTGTAAACAAGTCGAAAATTTAAAATTAACTAATTCAAAACATAATCTTAAAGTATCGAAATTATATTTCAGATATCGGTAATATCTACTTCGTGGTTACAAAGTTATTAGCAATTCAAGATTTATATAGATAATGTCGAAACTAAATGTACCGAAGTGATCAAATCCATTTCGTGACTTGGACACTTCTGTGGGTACATAATAGTGATGTGCCGAGTATTAAAAATGTATATTCAGGGATATTTTCTTTGTTGACGTAAAAGGCGACTAAGGGAACTTAATGGTCAAAGGATGAGCAGCAGCGTCTCTCTTGAAACATCGTCAAAAGCTAACTGGGGTTGCCAAACTGCCTGCCATCTAGCATCTAGCATGGCAACTATTAGAAAAACCTCTTAATATGCATATTTAGCAGTGTACAGTTAAAAGCTGCGATGATACAGAAAATAAGTATCTATTATGAAAAATATATATATAATGATTGATGTATATTGTCTTAAACTTCTTAAATATTTCTACAAAGTATAACTTAATTGTATTCAACAAAAAACCGATTTCAATTATGGAAAAACTAGTTATTTTAATTTAAAAACTAATGAACCGATTTTGATAAAATTTCTGTAGGACTAATCTGTAAACATGTCCTTTCCGATAAAAAAAGAATTTTGGAAATCGGTTTAAAACTGTCGGAATTAAGAGGTATGAAAAAAATAAAATTACGATTTAATTGAGAACTTTTTGATATCAATTGAAAGAAAGTAGTCCTCCTCTCTCCTACTCTCTGTGCTCAACAGGGTCCATAAATAGACCTATTTCGGTATTTACCAACCACATCATGGAATGCAATAAGAAATAAATAAATAAATAATACCTTTCAGGTACTATAATGGTCACTCACTGTAATAAATGTTTAAACATCAACTTTCTACATTATAAATGTACCTAATATGTCATTCAGGGGGAGAAGGGACTGTTAGTAATCGAGATTAGTAGCCCCATTGCTAGCAATACACCCTGTTAGGTCGACCTCCTCGTGATTCCCCCTGAAAACCATCATGATTGATTTATTGCTAGATTCGTCACAGTAGGCTAACTAACCTGCTTCATCCTCACCTATCATCACTCACTGGTGCCCCGCCGGTGTATACCGATAGCGCAGGTGGGACAACCATTCCATTATCATCTATTAAAAAAAAATTATTCAAAGAAATAAAAATTAATTTAAATGGATATTAATAGTATTTCATTACGATCTATATTTAGAATGTCATAAATGAAATTTAATAATGTATAAGATCCATTCGAGATATGTCAAAATGTAATGGACACAAAAACAAATCTGTTTTCTCTCTCGGATATGATTTATGTATAATATTGTATAATATAGACAGTATGAATGGTAGTTATATAACGCGAATTCGCTCACGTGAATCAACAAGTATATAAAGTGGTAGTACATAAAAGCCGTTAACAGTCCACGGATAATGGCTGAGATGATGATGATGATGAACGATGATAAATAACCTATATCGAAACAAATTAAGTTATCATTCAAGTAAAGTTACAATTCATTCATCCATCCTTACAAAATTTCACATTTTTAATATTAATAGTAGGATCTCTACTAGTACAAATGCAATATTGCAATATGGATAGCCCCTATTCTTCTATTTATCCGCTCCCTCTGGTAAATTAAAGGTAGACAGCTTTTTTGTTTTGTCTAAATGTATGAAAACTAAATATTTTAATAAATACTTGCAAATACGAATGCATATATTCAACTTTCAAAACTTAACTTTCATTTTAAAAAAGCAACTGCTGAGTTTATTTCCCGTTTCTCTCAGCTGAAATTGCTTTCCGAAGCCTTTACTTTGCGGTAGATTTATAAAAAAAAAACGACTATTAAAAATATTTATAATAAAGTTTACTTGTATTTCTTTTTTTTATTTGTACGAATACCCGGCACATCACTAGTACTTAGTTCGGGCTGCCCTATTATTTGGTCGCATTTCCACTACCCACCCACGGCAAAGCCGATCATTCGAGAAGACTTGTCAAATTAAGTAAAGGTGGGTCGAGAGCTTGGGGTCTGATGTTACTTGTCAAACTATAAATGGATCTACGACGCATTTCCTTGCCCTTTGTCTGTATGACGGAATAGATAAATTTACTTTATATATATATATATATATATATATATATATATATATATATATATATATATATATATATATATATATATATATATATATATATATATATATATATATACACTAACTTTTAAACTTTAACGTTGTATGTTTTATGATTTATTAAGAGACGGGAATTAAGGCGACCATTTTGGTAGACTGTAATAATTTATCAAAATTTTTTATGGTGAAAATAGAATGGCAAGCACGCCTGCATTAACAAAATACACTGGTGGGGCACCAGAAAGGTTATAGATGAGAATTCAGGTCATTTTTATTAACCACTATGGTTTCCGGGGCAGAGGGGGGGCGTGAAGGGCGTGAAGACCTGGTTGGGTATCTAATCATAATATCAATCATAATAATACATTCTATAGCATTTTGCCGTGTGGTCCCGGCGTAGAATACGCTACCCCTTCCTTTACCGTGGGTGTCGTAAGAGTCGACTAAGGGAGGGCGAGGGATGGGTAACAGCGTTCCTCTTAACACATCTCTAAAGCCTAACTGCGGTTGAAAATCCGTCTGCTAAACGTAGCAACTACTAAAACCCCCCAAGGGGAGGCTTATGTTCACCAGTAGTTTTTATTATTAATCCTATATCCATTCGTACCTTCACTAAGCTTTCAGATCAATTATCTTTGATTTCTTATTACGACTGTACTTCTTAGAAAATATTGTTGAATGAAACAAGGACTCGTATAAATATTGAAATAGAACATTCCAATATTTATAAAAGATCTCTTTCATAATATTTTTCATAATATCGATTACGATCCGTATATTACATTCAAATTCATTCATTTCAATTCATCAATTCTAGTTATAAGCATGATTGGGTCACAAACATTCAAATATAATTATAAAGATTCATATATTATTATTATTATTTTACACTTTATTGCACCAAGTAAAAAAGAAATAACAAATACAGTAAATATTAATGAAAAGTGATACAACTCAGGGGGAACCACGAGGAGGTTGAGCTGTCAGGGTGTATATTGCTAGCAATATGGTTGTTACTCCCCAATACTAATAATCCCTTCTCCAGGGGGGAAAGGGATTGTTAGTAATGGAGACTGAGAATCCCATACCCAACCAGGTCGACCTCCTCGCGGTTCTCCCTAGGAACTATCATGGTTAATTCCTGATGAATTCATTATGATGGGCTAACTGGCCTGTTTTCATTCTCATCTATCACCCTTCACTGGTGCTCCGCCAGCGTATCCCGTCAGCACAGGTGGAGTTACCATACCATTTTCACCCATAAAAAAAAATACCACCTCGATGATGACGTATTTCCCTATACATATATAATGTATGTATGCCTCGCAATGTATAAAAATCTTGCGTCACGTTTGTTTAAGCTAATCTTCAACAATTCAACTTTAATGAAATTTCATATAAATATATATGTATTGTTTATTCTAATTTCGCGGGAAAGGATATCTTAAAAAAAACGGGCCCTGTAGATGGCGGTAAGAGGTAAAGCAAGGTTTACTCTGTCAATTAGTTTTGTTATAATTATCGTTACAATTTTCAAATTACAATCATAGTTACATGAGAAATTTTTAATATATTTTTAAATTATATATTTTTAATTACTAAAATATAGATCAATAATATGTATTAAACATAAAATATTGTTATCATTACACGAATGAATGAAACAAACAAAAACTCTTTATTTTTCCTTTACTATTGTTACTCCTTATAATCTGTATCATTCGGATTGTAAAGATTAACAATATGTACAAATACAAAATGAATAATTAATTACATTATCTTTATTAAATAAAAGCAAGATAAAGAGGCATTAATTGGCGGCCTAATCGCTGAATAGCGATCTCTTCTAGGCAACCTCAGAGTGGAGAGGAATAATTACAATTATATCTGCTCAAGACGTAATAGAAAATAATAAGACTGAAAAAGAGAGAAAAAAGAGCTAATTTTTTTTTAATTTATTTTCTTAGCGTACCTTCTTCTTTCACAATACTACGAGTGGCGTACGTATTAGTGAATTTCAGCTTATTATATCGGTTACATGCGTATAATAAACAAAACATTACCTGGGTGCGGCTCTGGGCAACGCAGTATACACTGGCCACTCGTTGTACATCAACGGATCGCGGTATGAATCAACATGGTTCACGAACTCGGGAGCACGAGCTTGCCGTTTTGAAAACCTGTATACAAAAAAAGAGATTATTTAAAAAGGTACATAATCTGCCTGCCAAGCGTGGCAACTACTGGGAAAACCCGCCAAGGGAGAAGCTTATGTTCAGCAGTGAACAGTTAAAGGCTGATATGATGATGATGATGATAGGATGGATAATTTCTTTTAGCTTCGACTTTTTTTAATGGTTGATAATGGAATGGTAACCCCGCCTGCGTTATCAGTATACACTGGCAGGGCACCAGTGAGAGATGATAGGTGAGAATCAAGCAGGTCAGTAGCCCATCGAGACATTCAATAAGAATAAGCCATGGTTTCCAGGAGAAACACGTGGAGGTCAATTGATACAGTATATTACTAGCAATGGGGCTATTAAAGCCCAGTATTTCCCCCTTTTTAACTATGACTAACAACTTATATTTATAAAATTTGTGCTTAATTATTCCATATCAAGATTCGTGCACTATATTATTGTTAATTATTTTCTAATCCCACAATGTTAATTTAACTGGAAAAAATCTCTTTTTTAGATAAGTCCACCATTGCTAACAATATCTACAATAGCTACACAGCAACTATAAGTTTTTATAAGTTCCATAAAGATTTTGCTACAACAGAATAGGATAAGAATATAGACATATAAAAGTGGCTATGCGAAAAGTCAACACATTCTCGTATCAGCAAAGTGCAAAAACAGATGGTACTTCTAGTGTTGATCGAATCAAATACCAATACCAGTACCAATGTACCTTTCAGATATAAAAAAAAAAGAAAAAAACGCGAATTATTACATATCGAATTTCAAATAATTTTAAGCACTTCTAAATTTTTATCTTCTAATGCAACCCCACTGTTAATACTGCAGTTTTATTTGAGAACAATAGACAATAAACTGGGCTTGATTGGTGTTTTCAAACAAAAATATAATTTTTTGAATACAACCTATCAAACAGCATTGAAACCGAAACCAAATTACGACTTTTATTCTATTCTTGGCAGAAATAGAAACCTTTTTTAAACAATTCTTCTATATAATTTTAAAATATCGATTAATTTAAATAATAATAACAAGAATTTTTTTATTATTGCAAGTAATTATTTTATAAATAATCTAAACTGAAACCTAAAGTTTTAGCGAGTACTACGGATTCTCAAACATTAAGATGCAATTATCTAGTGTCGTAATTGTGAATTAGAACTTTGGTATCATTTATTGTTACCACCATTTCCAACCCTGCACATTTTATACGAGTCTACATAAATTATAAATTAGAACTGGTATCTTGGCACTCTTATTCGGTATCATTGTTTATTACTATCGTCTCCAACTTTTCACATATTGTACGAGTCTACATAAATTATTAATTGGAACTGGTATCAAGGTATTCTTATTCGGCATTATTGTTCATTACCACCTTTTGCAACCCTGCAAATATTGTACGAGTCTACATAAATTGTGAATGGTATCATGATACTCTTGTACGGTATCATTGATCGTTACCGCCGTTTCCACCCCTGTACATATTGTACGAGACTACATAAATTGTATCATATCTATTTCCTTTCATGTATGGAACACCCATATATTTATTAAAACATTCCATAGGCTCAGTATTACGTTGTTTAGTGTAACATTTGGCGACGTAACATTAAATCTTCAACGAACGCTGAGAACGTGAAACGGGAATTCCTCGCTTGAATATTCAACCTCATTCCCTCTTAAATTATATTTGTGCATGCCATTTTGGACCTTTTTGTTAGTGTGATAAAATATTTTATTAGAACAAATATAACAAAATCCGTTGCCATTATCATAGGGTGAGAAAACAACGACTTTACTCGAAACATATTGTCATTAATACAAATTGACAATATTGGGAAATTGAAAATCTACTGCAGTTTATTTTACAAAAAGATTTATGTAGCAATTTTAGAAATTTATTTTGATAATTATATAAACTTTTTCCTTATTTATTATATTTCTTTTTTATTATTTTGAGTCCAAACATTTGTCATGCGTATTGCATGTCCATGAGTCCTATCATTTTATTTACCTTTCATCTTCATCATTCAACCAATTTTTTTTTTTTTTTTTTTTATTATACTAAATACGTCATCATTATCATCATGTCAGCCTTTTACTGGCTACCTGAAGGATTTTGCCAGTAACCGCTACGCTTAACAGGCTGATTGGCAACCGCAGTTAGGCTCTGGAGATGTTTTAAAAAGGACGCCACTGGCAATCCCTCGCTCTTCTCCTCATCGATACCCTCATGAAAATAAGGAGTGACTTATTCTTCTATATCGGGACCACACGAAACTCTTGAAATCGGTTGAAAAAGATACAATATCATTCAATATATTTGTACTTAACTCCACTTGATTTCTTAAAATGTTTTTATAAAGACAAAGACTCTAATTTTGCAGTCTTCTTTTTGAACTGACTTCTTCACATAAATTTTAGACTCTAGCCCAAAATTAAGAATCAGTCGAAAGAAAGGAAACATTTTTATTTGCAAGAAAATACCTCCAAAAACAAGTTAAAAGGTATTTAATATTTCAAACAGATCTTACACATACGTAAGTATTTACGTATACAAATAATATGAGTTGAATAAATATAAACAAGTCTCAAAGATTTTCTATTCCCTTGTTCATACTAAAACTACCGATGCCTGCAAATCTCACGCCCGTTTCTTGAATAAAGTCAGACATATGCCTCTTTTCAAGGAAGCACTTTCGTTAACCCGTATTTTCTCTGATCTAGTGATGTACCAAATTGGTATTAGTTTGTAATTGAGTATTTCAATATTGATTAAAATAATCGATTCCTATTTGTATATTTAGTATTATGTATCTATTTATGTAATATGAAAAGTCCTCAAACAATTTACGGTTTCAAGCACTTTTAAATTAATTAACGTTATCTTCTGTTTAATGTCATATTTGATTGTGTGTGAAATTGGTATCACTGATCTATACTTGTAAAACATTGTGTCTTGGTAATCCCTTTATGGACTCCCACGTTACAGGTTCGCCTAGTGCAAGGTCTAATGTACTCGTGTTGTTTGTACTTATGTTTAGCGACTAACCAAGTAAAACAAAATAAATAACTTGACGCAGACAAGTACTTGAGTATTTATTTGGATATTCGATTACTTCATCAGACTCGAGTAATATTTCAATTGATTTCTGAAACTTATTTTTATTCTTTCTTTATTCTTTATTGTACACAAAACATACTGTTAATTACAATTTATTATAAAGATAATGTACAAAGGCAAGCTTATCTCTAATAAGAGATTTCTCTTCCAGCAAAACCTTTCCATGTTAATTGTGTTATTTTAAAAATATAAATAGGCAGTCATACGATCTGCATATTATATATATATATATTGCTTATTTTTAATAAAGATAACTTTTCTTTCATACCTACCTAATTAATATTTTTGATTGATTGATCCTTATAGAAAACAAAACGCTAAGACAAAAATATATAATACATAGCATAAAAAACTTACGATAAATACGTGACTAGTATTCGAGTACAGAAAATACTCTAAACTTGTAGATATTCGAATATCGCGTATCTGAATTCTTTATATTAAGTACTCGAGTAACTATTAGATATTCGGTATTTACTAAATACTAGTTTTTACCCGCTACTTTACCATAAATGCGTGGATTTCAAAAATAAGAAAACCAATGAGTCGTTATCATATATAAGACTACTCCTAGATGATATATCATAATGAAATAAAACTCCCCATCCATTGCTATTCCTGAAGACTCAGGTATTATTTCTCTGTACCCTATAAATTCACTGCCATATCCCACCCTTCAAACCGAAACACAGCTATACAAACACAACTGCTTCACGGTTGAAACACAAATGAGACAGAGGTATCCAAGCAAACGATTTTTTGTACAAAGTCTCCCTCTGGTAAGTTTTACTTAAATATCTCTTATGTACAGAGATCGTCTAGTTACAATTTTGATATATTATTAAGATATACGTACTCGAGTCAGTTTGTCTTGGCACATCACTGCTCTGATCACACTGCGTAATATGAACAAGACATTATTGAGTTGTATTTGCTTTTGTATGGAAAATTGAATGTCTTGCTTTTATCCTTTGACGTGAATGTGGTTTTAAATATATGCTCATTGATATAGCTTGAGGATTTAATAAGCTTTTTGTATTCTAACTGTATGTATATATTTATTTTTTGTATTCTATTTATTTTTAACTGGTTTTCCTTCCTTCTTCAACATGGGTATATTAAGGTTTTTTCAAGGTCGGCGACACGCACGTGACGCCCCTGAAATGTGAAATGTGTGTAAATATGAATAGGACTCTATTTTCTACGCTTAGCCTCTCATTTGGGCCGTTGTACGTATGAGTCGTGGCTAGTACAGCCAACCTAGCTCCGCCCAGAAGCGCAGAAGCTTCCTGGGATCTTTACAGACCTTACAGAGCGACCTCACCGTTCCGAGGATTTCTAAACGTTAATGGGCCACAGCTTTACATTCAAGGATTACGTGAGCAGCCGTTTCTTCGGCGTCGAAACAGCCTCGACATAGAGGGCTGTCTGTGGCTCCTATTGTGTATAAATGTTTATTTAATGAACAATGACTCATTATTGTCCCTATCATTATTTTGAGTTTTTTTTTTTTTTATCTAGATGTAATAAACGTTTTGATAGTCGTTGATTCAACGTAGGTACGGCCAATTTTGATTGTCTGCAATCAGTAGCCTGTATCCATCTTTGGTTTTGTACGTCAGCGGATCTTTGACGAATCCATATTCGAAGTTACGAAAACGGAAAAGGAAGAAGTGGATACGGGCCTACGACCCTTGTTCCTGAGCCTCTTCTAGCTAGATCGTCTGCGGCATCGTTACCATAAGATTCACTGTGCCCTCATATCTATTGGAGGATAACTCGGTTATTGGAAGATAATGTGACACTCCTAGTGTTGCAGGAGTCCATAGAGACCGTGACCGTTTATCATCACACAGGCTGTATGCTTGTTTGCTACCTTCTTGATATAAAACAATGACGGTAAAGACATTGTATTTCATTTATACATTGATTTCCATTTTTCAGGTTATTTTTTTTTTCTCAGTTAGTGTAATGTAGGATAATGAGTAGATAGTAGAAGATACTTCTGCTTCGAAAGCAAATACATAACAATTCTACATCTATCCTGACCACGGCTGGTGTAACTGGTAGGAAAAAGTGGCATTATTTTTACATTTATCCCTACTGGGCACACAGTGGTAGGGGCAGGTGGAAAAAATATTCCACTCTTACTCTCCAGGGAGTAAGTTGGTAGGAACAAGTGGAACTGGGAACGCGGTCATTTAGGTAAACTATGATCATCACCATATCAGCCTTTAACTGTCCACTGCTGAACATAAGCTTCCCTCTTAGGGGCTTTCGCCAGTAGTTGCCACGCTTGCCAAGCGGATTGGCAACCACAGTCGAGTTTCAGAGATGTTTTAAGAGAAACGCTGCTGCCCATCCCTCGACCATTAAGTTCTCTCTCGCCTTTTACGACACCCACGAAAAAGGAAGGGCTGTTCCATTCTACAGGAGAGTACATGCAACATACTTGTTTACTTGTGGCAATTCAGTACAAATGTAATCGACAGAAATATTCGAGCCGTCTGTATGAGTAACAAAAGAAAAATGAATGTCAAATTTATATGTAATATAAAAGGCGCAGTCATTTCGTGTATGCACGAATATCTTTCCATATATTAAAGATATTGAATATACAAGTATATTGTTATATCATCAAAGTGTTCGACACGACAATTCCATTGTCTTATATTTATAAGTGTTTAAGAGGGAGACTTTGTGCAAAAGTCGATTGCTTGGGTACCTCTGTCCCATTCGTGTTTCAACCGTGAAGCAGTTGTGTTTGCATGACTGTGTTTCGGTTTGAAGGGTGGGATATGGCGTGAATTTACTGGGTACAGAGGTATAACACCTGAGTCCTCAGGAATGGCAACGGATGGGAGGTATCATGGGCGAAACAGTATAGTATACTCTGTTATATCCATGGTACTGCTATATATATATATATATATATATATATATATATATATATATATATATATATATATATATATATATATATGTATATATATATATATATACATACACATATATATATTAAAAAATTCTTCTTTTATTTTCAACATGACACATTTACTTATTTATTTAAATAACTTTATTGATCAAAATAAATTAAGGTGCAAAAGGCGGGCTTAATGCTAGTAGCATTATCTACCAGTCACCCTTTAGGATGAACAATGAATCATGAATACGGTACTTTATTATCGGAATAGGTAAAGAAAATAAGAACTAATAATGTATACCTATACAAAATATATAACACATACATAAATAACATAAAATAATGACTACAATATTGTATTACAAGTATATTGTATTGTAAAATCTTTATTGTATATAATTTATATTGGACACATTAAAAGATTTAATATACAATGGCGGACTTATCACACAAAGGAATCTCTTACAGTCAACCTTTGAGAAGCTGAAAAAAACTGTAGAATGTACGAAGGTAAAAATCGTACAGTTAAAGATAAACTAAATAATATCTAGTTAAAATTGCATATATAATACAATAAAAAATAACTGTATACGCCTACATATGTAAATAATAATAATAATACATAAATAATAAAATAACATTAATATTAATGTGTAGGTTTATTTTTATTTATTTATAATAAAAATAAACCTACACACAAATATATAAATAATTAATACATAGATATCATAGAATCAGAATAAAATTTTATGATAGATAAAGATAAAGGATTTTAATCATTGTGCCGTCTTCAAGTTACTTGGAGGTGAATTCCAGAGACTTGCAGCTCGTTCAGTAAATGACTTGGCATAGCTTTGAGTATTAAAACAAGGCAAATCTATAATGAAGTCATTACTGCATCTCAGCCAGACATCAATCTCGCGAAATTTGAACCTTTCCCGAAGGTAATATGGATATGTTGGATTATAAAAGATATTGAAAAGAAAAGTAAGAATGCATATATAAACATAAAGGATTATACAACTAGATAGATATATAAAATATAACTAATATATAAATAAATAAAATATAAAAGATGATGATTAGCTACCATTGTTGAAATGTTCATAAGGTGAGCACGAACTCTTCTTTTGACCATGAATTTATTTGAAAGTTTCCTTCATTATATTGAATGCAGTATGCAATATGGATTCTAACTAACAAGTGTGTGTAAATATAAGGGCGTCTAGATATCTAGGTATTCGAAGAATTTTTTTTATTACTTTAAAAGTTGTTAATGTTTAAAAGTTGTAAATATTCAAAAATAATTTTTCATTTTTTTTATACCACAAAGATGGCAAACAAGCGTACAGCCCGTCTGTATATATTAGCCACCTTTACCTTTTTCTATTATACAACTTAGAATGGCAAACAAGCTGACGGTCCACCTGATGAAAAGTAGTAACCGTCGCCTATAGACATGAGCAGTACCATGGACATAACAGAGTATACTGTTTCGCCCATGATACCCCCCGTGCGTTGCCATTCCCGAGGACTCAGGTGTTATTCCTCTGTACTCTGTAAATTCACGCCATATCCCACCCTTCAAACCTTTTAGTGTTTATATATGATATATCATGAGCATTTATCATTATCCGGATCACAGAAAGAAAATATAGAAGTATCCACTATTTCTATGTCCTAGGTCCTTAATCTTAACACAAGTTCTCCGTTACTTACCTCCACATGGCTTTGAGCTGGTCGCAGGTAGGCTCATCTGGTTTCCCGATCTCCCTGTCGCGGACCCTCGCCGGCCGTGGTGACAGCAGTGGTTCCTGGTCGATGCGCTGCGCGAACACCACGCATGCGCACACCACCACGCTCCACGCCCGCCAGAAGTACCACATCCTGAAACAATGAAGAAATCATGAAGTTAATTGACTGGGGTTTTAAGTTCTGCCAGCGAGGAAGTAATACGATGAAATAATTCTGTTCATCCATAGGAAACTGTAACTCTTACAGTGAAAGTATGCTGAGAAACGCCTGGTAGCACAGGGAATTATGGAGAGATTAGTGCCAGGGCCGTATTATCTATTAGGCAAGGTAGGCAAGTTCCTTGGAGCCCCCATTAGCTGGGAGCCACGCGCTTTGTAACTTTTTTTTTTCGAGATTGTTTCTTTAAGTAAAAATAACATTTAGAGCTTCGTATCGAAGAAATCCTTAATAAAAATATTAATTCTTTCACATGCATATTTTTATTGCCTTGTTTTTTCTTTATTACGTAGTCATATTTCAGTATAATTCGTAACGCATTTCAAGTTATTATAAGTAATATATATAATTATAGTATTAATTTGTAATTTTTAAACGAAATATGTATTACCTGGAGAGCCGAGCTGAACAATCTGGCTTTGACTAATTCTCAGAACAACTCTAATGCACCGTAAAACAAACTACTCCTAAAGTTGGAGACGTAAAAAAGATAGTGTCTAAAGTACGGAGAGGAAGAATGGACAGGCTATAATATTATGAGAACGAACCACCAAGAGCGAACGGAGCTATAGTGAAGGCCCTGCTCAGTAGGAGTCGACCACCCAAAAGATGGTCCTGACATTGATGAACTAATCGCTTTCGCCAATAAGCCGGGAACTTTCTTATTGTTCACCAACGCTATGTAAAGAGATTGTATTAGAGATTAAATCAGCATTCTTGTCTATATATACAGCAGCGTCTCACTTAAAACATCTCCAAAGCCTAACTGCAGTTGCCAATCCACCTGCCAAACGTGGTAACTACTGACAAAACCTAGGGAGAAGCTTATGTTCAGCAGTGAACAGTCAAAAGTTGATATGATATGATATGTAATGTATGTAAAATGTAAAAATTTAGAAAGATGTTCAAATGTTTTTTACTTGATTCTTTAACGAACTTGAACGTAATTTTGTTATGAGTACAAATAAGCCATCGTTCTATAAAAAAAGAACATTATAAAAAACCTTTATGTTCACGCGCCGCAGAATTATAACTATTTAAAAGTGCTTGTAACCAAGTCTAACCAAGTCAAATAAAAAGGATTTGAATTTGAATTAAGCTAGTATTATATATACATACCATAGTTTACTTCCATATTTCTAAGTACCAATAAGTAAGTATTATTTTTTAATATTCTTTTGAAAGGTATCGAAACGAAATTACAAAAGAAAATATCCTATGTAAACCTATCTTTAGAAAATGATAACTCAAGAATTGCAACTGAACTCTCGCAATATTATGAATGTAATTTACAATTGACACTTATTCTGAAAATAAATCCGTGTTCACATATGAGTCAGCCTTCTGTTCCTAATAATAGAAGTGGATTATCCGCGACGGATGTTTTATACCGCGTCGTAACTTGCGGAACAGATTGTGTCATCCTGTCTTCTCTCACAAAGTTTATAACTCACTTTGTATGTAGGTACGCAATACATACGTATCCCATATACGTGAGTGGGTAGACCTAGCTATTCACTCACATATATTTATTACCAGAGGGAGTCATTGTACAAAAGCCGATTGCTTGGGTACCTCTGTACCATTCGTGTTTCAACCGTGAAGCAGTTGTGTTTGCATGGCTGTGTTTCGGTTTAAAGGAATATGGCGTGAATTTGCTGGGTACAGAGGAATAACACCTGAGTCCTCAGGAATGGCAACGAATGGGGGGGTATCATGGGCAAAACAGTATACTCTGTTATGTCCATGGTACTGTTCATATCTATAGGCGACGGTTGCCACTTTACATCAGGTGGGCCGTCAGCTTGTTTGCCATTCTAAGTTGTATAAAAAAAAGTTATAGTAGTCATCTGACTAGGAATAAAATAATAATAATAATGTATTAATTTGTAGTTTTTTTATCAATATATATCATTATATGTTTATACTATATGAATATATAAAGTATTGCTTTATATTTCCTCTATTCAATAATGCGCCGCCTACTTAGTTCACGATTTGCCCAATGGTTGACTGGTAGAGAATACCGTCCAGTGTTAAGTCCGCCAAATATACATAAGACTTTACTGTGCATTAAAGTTTAAATAAATAATTAATTTTATGGGAGTATTTTTATTCATTCAATTTTTTCTTGTAAACTCATCATTTATTTGAAAAAAGCAACAGTTGAGTTTCGAACCCGTTCTTCTCAGCTAAAGTTTCAGTTAGTTAAAGTCAGTCAGCTAAAATCAGCAAAAACGAACCGAGCGGTAGACTCATAAAAAAATACCATTCAATGCTTATAATTAACTTAAATAAAAATTAATTTCTATTTTACTTTATGCAGCAATGTAATACATTGGTATTATCATTAAGGTACAAGCATGTTCTTAAGAGCAAACAAGCTCTCAAACAGCTTAAAAATGGCAAGGTACCGTGGGCGGACCAAATTACGGTAAAGCTTTTGAGAGCGAGTGGAAAATCGGTACTTGTAGTCCTTTAGAAGCTATTTAATTTCTTCATCCATAACGGTGTTACGCCAGAGGCGTGGAGCAGAAGTGCGGTCGGCCTGTTCTTCAAGAAAGGTGACAATACCCTATTGAAGAACTATAGACGGATATCACTTCTGAATCGCGTCTACGTACTGTTTTCGAGAGTCCTAACCAATCGTCTTACGCGCAAACTCGACGACTACCAGCCACCCAAACAAGCTGACTTCCGAAAGAGCTTTAGCACCATAGACTACATACATACGCTACAGCATATTATATAGAAGACCGAAGTGTAAAATCTGACACTATGTATGGTTTTGTGGACTATGAGAAAGCCTTTGATTCGGTCGAGACATGAACGGTACTACAGTCCCTCTAGCGTTGCCAGATTGACTATAGATATATCGAAGTGTTGAAGTGTATGTACAGTAAGGTAACGATGTCTATCCGAGTACAGAACCAGAGTACGAAACCCATCCTAATGCAGACTGGTGTAAGACAGGGTGACGTCATATCCCCGAAACTCTTCACAATTGCATTGGAGGATTGAACAGGTTTTCAAACTCTTAGAAGTGGAAAGGATATGGTATAAACATCAATGGCGAATACATCACTCACTTTCGATTTGCCAGTGATATAGTAATCATGGCGGAATCCCATATATATCAAGGATTGGTCTAGTAGTTTTTAAGTTTATTCGTTACATACATACTAACAAATCTTTCTTCTTTATAATAATAGTGTAGATGTAGACAGTGTAAATAATTATACAACCAAAACCCCTATTTGTTTATACTCGTAAAATAATTTTTGAAATTGGTCTAGTAGTTTTTAAGTTTATTCGTTACATACATACACACAAATCTTTCCTCTTTATAATAATAGTGTAGATGTAGACAGTGTAGATAATCATACAATTGAAACGCCTATTTGTGTTGTGTTGTACATACAAAAAATATTTTTTTTTATATTTTTGTATTATTTATGTACATATATTGTCAGTTTATTGATATTACATCATATGTACTATAATATTTATATTAAAAATATCGTATTTCATATAATATAATATCAATAAACTCGCAATATACTCGTTCTGAAAGGCAATGTGAGCGATGAAGGCGTATCGGTTAACAATATTTGAACACGGTCACTGTTTGAGCTTGGAAGTGGCCTATATTGCCACACTAATTGAGGCTACTACAAACATGGGCCAGATGTAGACCAGTAACGTTATTGGGTGTCATAAATCAGAAATCACTTCCGATCAAGTTCAGGAAGTTGGGTAACGATGTATAACAATATTATGTATAAATTTAATTGTAGGTATGTAATTTTAATAAAATAATAGAATTATAACTAGACGATGTATCTATTGTATGAGAGATATTTGAGAAAAGTTCATATGAGGGGTCATGTCTATCTGTCTGTATGTTTGTTCCGGCTTCTCGCAAAAATTACTACACTAAATTGGACGCGGTTACCAAATTTGTGTTCCTAAATGTCTAACATAAAATCTGATTACAAGGATTTACTATATATAAGGGTATTTAAAAGAAAAAGAAACGTTAAAAAAGTAAAGTTCAGTTGAAAGATTGATTTTACGATCTCAGACAAGCAACCTTAAATATGAATATTTGATTTTACTTTGAAAGGGAAACATACAATATCTAAGACATATAAAATACTATACACAACCAGAACACAAATCAGTAAAGTTTCCACTATAAACTAATGCCAAATAATCGAGAGTAGATGATTATTGATATTATATATGATATTGATGAACATAAAAATATATATAATAGTATATACATGCACATACATACACACACACACACACACACACACACACACACACATACATAAATAACTAATAATAAATATATGATATAGTGGATACTCTTGTGAAATTCTATAACATATCTTCTAAGTTATATCAAGTTATTAAGTTAATAGTGAAAACTGCATTCAAATTTCAATCAACGTCAATACAATTACCATTCAACTCCTTTACAAATTCTGAAAGACCCACACCATACATATCCCTTTTTGGGGAGATTATTACGCATTATAAGTATAAATAGACAGTATAGTATATAAATTGATATATGATATCATTACCCCAATAATATGAACACCTCCCACGCCTAACCATAATGTGGGCATATGTTACTGGCCAAGGACACCAAAGGAAAATAATGTTATGAGTATCAATATATATTATTCGCATTAATAAGGACAAATCCTTTCTCGCAGTATCGTCCGTCATACACGTTATAGAAATATTCAATAGAAATAATAATTTTTCTTCATATTGGTACAGCCGGCACCCACCAGAACTCAGTCACACTGAGGGGAAAAGAAATTGATAATAATAAAAGCATTGTTGTTAATTCATATGGAATAACTGACCTGCTTTCATTTTCGCCTATCATCTTTCAT